GGGTATGGAAGATGTTTTGTACCGACCTGGGGGTCCAGGTCAGCCTGTCCTCTGGGTTCCACCCGCAGACTAATGGGCAGACTGAGCGAGCAAACCAGGAGCTGGAGGCCATGCTGCGCTGCGTCGTTTCCTCCAACCAGTCGTCATGGAGTGAGCAGTTGGCGTGGGCCGAATACGCCCATAACTCTAGCACGTCGGCCGCTACGGGTGTCTCTCCCTTCGAGGCGTCCCTGGGGTATCAACCCCCGCTCCTCTGCATCATGGAGGGAGAGGTGGCCGTGCCTTCCGTGCAACATCACATGAGGCGCTGTCGACGGATCTGGCGGGCAACTCGAGCGGCACTGCTGCGTACGAGCGCTCAAAACAAGAGACTGGCTGACCGCCGCCGCGTCCCTACACCGGCCTATCGGGTGGGCCAGCAGGTGTGGCTTTCCTCTAAGAACATCACTCTGCGGACTGAGTCCAAGAAGCTGGCTCCCCGGTTCCTTGGACCCTTTTCTGTGCAAGCCATCCTGAATCCAGTGACTGTCCGACTGGCCCTCCCGCGCAACATGAAGGTACACGACGTGTTTCATGTTTCTCAAATTAGGCCGGTCCGGACCAGCCCGTTGCTTCGCATCCAGAGCTCCGCGACTGAGTCTGTATTTCCCCCATTACCCGTGACAGCATCTGGGACTCAGCTCATCTATGTGTCAGTGGATCTCCAACTTCCTAACTGGCAGACCACAGGCAGTAAGGATGGGCGGACATGTCTCAGCCTCCACCACTCTCAGCACTGGAGCCCCCCAGGGGTGTGTTCTGAGCCCCCTGCTGTACTCTTTGTACACATATGACTGTGTGGCCACTACCAGCTCCACCACCATCATCAAGTTTGCTGACGACACCGTCGTGGTGGGCCTGATCTCTGATAACAACGAGACGGCCTACCTGAAGGAGATTAGGAATCTGGAGAACTGGTGCCAGAGGAACAACCTCCTTCTAAACGTCAGTAAGACAAAGGAGCTGATAGTGGACTTCAGCACTAAGCAGGAGAGGAACTACCAGACCCCCGTCATCAACGAGTGCCCAGTGGAGAGAGTGGACAGCTTCAAATACCTCGGAGTTCACATCACGCAGGACCTGTCATGGTCCTGTCACATCAACACCGTGGTGAAAAAGGCCCGTCAGCGTCTCTACCACCTCAGACGCTTGAGAGACTTCCAACTGCCCTCCAAGGTGCTCAGGAACTTTTACTCGTGCACCATAGAGAGCATCCTGGCGGGAAACATCTTAACCTGGTTCGGGAACAGCACCATGCAGGACAGACGAGCTCTACAGAGGGTTGTGCGGTCAGCTGAGCGCACCATCCGCTCCGAGCTCCCTGACCTGCACTCAATCTACAGCAGGCGGTGCTGGACCAAGGCCAGGAAGATCGTGAAGGACCTCAGCCATCCCAACAACAGACTGTTCTCTCTGCTGAGGTCAGGAAAGCGATTCCGCTCCCTGAAGACCAACACAGAGAGACTGAGGAGGAGCTTCTTCCCGCAGGCGATACGGTCTCTCAATCACACCACCACACAGTACTGACCCACACATATGGTTCTTACACACACACACTGGACATTCTGGACATTGTTTTTGCACAACACTGGTCACTATATTCTTCATTTCCGGTTAATACTTGTACAGCTGCTGTTATTGTGTATATATTTATTTATATTTAGATTTCTTCATACATTCTTATATAGTTCTATATTGTGTATTGTGTATTTTGTTGTACAGTTATTTTATTTTCAACTTTAATTTATATATTTTATCTTATTCTTTCCCAGTTAAATTTACCCTTCATTCTAATTTGTGTTGTACAGTTATTTCATTTTTAACCTTAATTTATATTTTATTCCTTCCTAGTTAAATTTACCCTTTTTAATTTTTCATATTTATTTCCTATCTTATTCATAGCCTTTTCCTTTTTTGTTTTCTTTAGGTCACGAGCAGTTGTCCAAGCATTTCACTACATATCGTACTGTGTATGACTGTGTACGTGACAAATAAAATTTGAATTTGATTTGATTTGATTTGAGTAAGGGATGTTTCCACAGCAGTGGTACCTGATAGCTGAAGGCTCTGCCTCCCATTCGCAAACTCTAGAAGCACAAATAAACCTGCAGTCTAAGAGAAATGCTCTGTTAGGATAATATGGGATCTTTAAAATATGACAGAAACTGATTATCCAGGAGAAAGGTTTTAAATTCAATTCTGGACTTAACAGGATGCCAGTGAAGAGAAGCCAGTATGGGGGAAATGCGGTCGCTCTTTCTACTCTCTGTTCAGGAGCTTTTAGTTACTCTGAGATGGGGTGTTTCTGATTTTGGCAATATTGCACAATTTTAAATGTATTTTTGATAGGAAGCATTTTTCATGTCTGTGGCTCTTCGGGGAGAACCCGGACATCCAAGTAAATTGGGTCTTTCAAAGAAGTGGTAGTAAAGGTGGTAATCCATGCCAAGCAGCACGAATCAGAATATTAGAGATGAATATTTCGCAAACTGCTGTGAGATTGTGTTGAACTTGATAACCTGTTGGTGATAATCTCATGTTAACTCTACATGCTGCAGCAGATATTGGATACTGAGGAGCAAAGTCATGGTTTTCCTGTTATTCTCTTCCCATGTGTGCTGTACTCTCCTCTTTCTGTCTTTATCTGTCTTTGGGTTACTTTATGTTTTACGTCATCGGTTTGTTTTCTCGTGTGACTTCAAAATCAATGCCCAGCTCACATTAACTTTAATCTGTGATTGTATGCTTTCAGATTTGCATCACTGAAGTGTGGTTTTAAGCTATATTTTACACAGCATCCTAACTTTTTATTATTTTGTCTTTTCCTTTGATCTCGTCGGATTATTTGCTTGCCTTTCATGTGCTTTCTTTACTTGTTTCCTGGTTTCTGTTTTTACCTTTTGTAGCTGTTTTCTTGGACTTTGGTTCATCATTTTATTTTATTCTAAATTCTGGACCACGTCTGTACCTTTGTGCAATCTCCTAACACAAACAGCTGTAAGTGGTTAAAATTTCTTCTGGAAACCTAAAATAATAATACTTAATTTTTAAAGCAGCTTTTTATGTTTTTGGCTTTAAGGAAAAAACATGCAAAGCTGTCTCTATTAAGAGAAGCAGAGACATATGTGCAATTATGCATCTATGGAACAGCAGAGACAATCTTTCCAGCACTCGCTGTTGTTTAATCAACATTTTATAATATACTGAAACAGAATGGAATAGATGCAAGTCGTAGTTACTGCTTAACCCTGATCCAAATATATAACAGGCGCATTGGTTAGTCAAGCACAAACCCTGACCTGCAGACCTATTATCAGCATTGAAGGAAATGATCTTTGGAGAAGCTTTGGAAAAGTGAAAAATCCCACCGGGCAACAGAACCTTTCTCTTGTGACTGTGATTACACACCTGAGAGAGTTTTTAAAAAACAGAGAATTCAAAGGGATCGAGAAAGCCCGAAAAGAAAAAGGGATTTGATTTCCAGCAGTATGCCTGAACATGTGGATCCACTGGGACCCCGGGTTATCCGGCACTGCTCAAGAGGTGCAGTGAGAGCTACAGAGACAGAGATTTCCACTTGAATGAGGGAGAGAGCACCTCATCTAGCTGTAGGGGAGGCAGTGGGTAGCAGCTCACTGTGAGAGCAGGGATAAAAGTCCAAGCCAGAGGGGGGGGTGCTGGGGGTGGAGTGAGACCGCACCGCAACAAATCAGGATTCAGATTTGGGGGGAAAAAACTGAGGATTGTAGTGGGTTAAGGTCGTAAACTAGGCTTCATGACTTAATTAGATAGAATAGCAAAATAATAATGTAATAGTAATATAATGGTTCGCTATCACACACACACTCCAAAGGATGTATGAGCAATTACAGGGTTCAGTTTCTTGCGCCAGACTGTGAGGAGCCAGGAATCAAACCACCAACCTTTGGATTAATAGGTAATCTGCTCTCCCCTGTGGCTCAGCAGCCATTGACTCATGAGTCATCTGAAACAGTGGAGGGGAGTTTCCACAGCAAGCTCCTCCTGTGTGTGTCTGGGTTTTGAATGCTAGTTACTCAGAATCTGATGGATTCATAAAACTTAAAGTTTAAAGCCCAGATTCAGGGTTCCTGCGTGGTCTGCAGGTTCTGCCCAGACTATTAAAAAAAAAGGTGCTGCTGTTGGTTCCTTCAGCTTCTCCTCTGCTGCAGAGTCCATGAGAGTCATATATCTGCTTAAAAAGGCAATATTTGCTAAGCAGATGATGAATTGCTTTTGAACGAAATGCCACAGGGAGTTTGCCACACTGAGGAGCCAGTGTGACCAGCTAACTTACTTCCACCTATAAACACTTCTGCAGTAGACCCTCAAGAATAAAGTGCACAGTAAAAGTTTTACAGGTGGCATAGCTCCAGAATGCAAAATGTAACACAACAGCAGCAATTAGACTTTCAAAGCGATAAGTATTTTACTCTTTAGTAAATATGTATATGAGGACGAATCAGTCAGGGGTGAACGGTTCTGAATGTAAGCAAAGAGTGTTTCGAAATCGTATGATGCTTTACAAAATGTATCAGAAGAGAGAGATTTTCTGTAAAAATGACATGGGAGCTTGAACAAAATAGAGATTCTGACATATCTTTTTCAATATGTTACATCTAGTGGAGGTTTGTCAAACTTTGCACTGCCTATTTTTGCCCCAAATTTTGGTTGAGTGTCTTAAGACAGCCTTTTGCAGCTTTACTGAAATTTTGTTCATCAGTACAGGCTTAGAAGCTCGTGGAGGGATGGAACACGGTGGCCTTAATTGCAGCTTTGTAGCCATGTAATTTGTTGGTTTCATTTGCTAGTCAACCCATTATTTACTCTCTTTTAAATTGCAAGGGCAGAGGAAGCTGTGCTTCATAATTACATGACGGAACCCACAACCACCCAGTGATGCCCGTAACAACAGTGCAATAATGAGAGAGTGCGGGGCTTACCAAGATCGAGATGAATGCTGGGAACGAAGGAGTTGAGAAAGAACATGAAGATCACAACGGCAAGGACGGACACACACTTCACCAGCAGAACTTTGTCAGTAATTCTGTGCTGCGTAGGAGGAAAATGTATTTTTTGTGAATGGTGGAAAAGCTGATGTTATCAGAAGAATGACAGGATTTGTCTTAAGCGAACTTTCAAAGACTAGACCTACTTCATTACTGAGATTACATCAATGCACCAGTCACAGTGATTGAGGAAAATGTGTGAGGTGAAGAATCAAAGCCTACCTTCTTCTGCAGTTCTTGGATGTTTTGCTCCCAGTTCTTATCCTCCTGAGAAATTTGTCTGTCAGACACAACAACATTTAAATCTCACATTAGGCGAATGCACAGTGTCAAAAAACAAACAAACAAAAAATGGAAAAAGTATCATCTCATAGAAACAGGGTGCTTATTTTTAGCAGTTTATAACCGTATGCTGAGCGTTGTGTAGTGTGAAGGATTTATTTCTGCATTTCCTGCCCTTCAAAATGTGTATTTATTTTCTGTAATTGCTATGATGGTCCGGAAAGCAGGCACAGAAAAATAGGAACAGGAAAAAAAAAAAAAACTATTTCTGGACTGAACTGAACATGTCATGCTTGGTGCCATGCTTGTGTTTTAAATAATTAGAGGGGACCTATTATGCTCTTCTCCAGCTCCATATTTCTAATGTTGGGCTGCTAGAGTTTACAGCTTTGTGTGATTCAGAATTAGGAATAATCCTCATTTGTTTGAGCTTGGATTTGGAGCAGCACCTAGTTCATCCAGTGTCTGAAAAAGATATTTAAGCTCCTCCTTCCTTTAGCTAACTTTCTTCTGATATATTGATATTGCACAGATCCAGGAGCAGTCTGAAGTCTGAGCTTCAGGGTCATGGGTCTAACATACATGCACTGACGTTAGGGAGACACACTTCTAGATTTATACTTAATTTCAGAAGTAAAAACAAATGCCGTATTTTTCGGACCATAAGATGCACCGGATTATAAGGCACATTAAGCGAAACAAAACAGTCAGATAAGTCAAACTTTACTCAATTCATTATACTAATATAGCTGTGTCGCTAGCGATCACGTAGCACATCATTATATACCAGCTAGCCCAGCTTCAGTAACGCTACAAACGTCACTGCTGTTTAGTTTTCTATCTTCATTCATGTTGGAAGTGATAGCAGAGCTGTACGTTTTAATTTTTTCAGGAATCTCTCAGTCAGAACATGCAATATCATGTTTAGGTGGAAACTAGCGTGCTAACTTCCTGCTAACTTCTAACTCAGTTAAATTTAATAAATTCTGTTTTCATGGATGCCTGGATGTTAAACTTAATTGTTACACCTGGCAAAGTAGCAACGCTGATTAAAGATGAAAGAATTTAGACAGTTTTTAACTCTCAGTGATGCCGTAGTGTTCGTTTGACTTGGGGCCTGAAGCGGATGGAGTTTGGACTCAGATTACTCCACGAGGCTCCTGAGTACAGTAGCCATAACGCTCCGACAATCCATCAAGCGGTGTGGCTTCGTAGCTTACCAAAGTCAGACTAAAACATTTTTGACAGATTTCTGAGCGGCGTGTACTACATAAAATCCATTCGAGGTCTGTAAGCACAACCAGAATTCATACATAAGGTGCACCGGAATATAAGGCCCATTGTCAATTTTTGAGAAAATTTAAGGATTTTAAGTGCGCCTTATAGTGCAGAAAATACTGTAACAGTGGAAGTGGAACGTGCAGTTACAGTGTTACTATTGCATGCAAGAGTTTTATATGATTGCTACTTTGTAACCGACCACACATCGCGGTGCTATCGTGGCTATGTCACATTTCTAGGCTTTAATGAGCCTTTTCCTTTTTCCTTTGTTACTACAGCGGCCCCTTGTGGTCAAAGTCAGTCTTATTCGTCTGTTTTCTTGGTGGTCTCGATGTGTACACCAGCCAGGTTGCGTCAGTGACGTGTGTCATCATCCCAGGTCTTTTGTTTAGTTTTTATTGAGTTCTATCGAGTTCTTCTTGTGTTCTGTCACCTGTTATTATACAGTGGAACCCCGACTTACGAAATTAATTTGTTCACAAAGTATTTGCAGTGTGTGCTTTCAGTAATCACACCAGCCATGAATTCTCTTGTTAAATCATGTATTATTGATTAGTACTGATAACTGCATCTAGTGAAAAGATCTGTACGAAGCAATATACAGCAGGTTGGCTTTTGAAAAACGACATTAACAGTACAGACAATGTGATTCTTAATGTTCTGTGTTCTTGTGCTTTCTTTAACCTTTGGAAGGTCTTCATCATGTTTCGCAGCAGACTCTCCAGGTTGAGGACTTTTTGCATTAAAAGACATTTCACAGCTGTCTCCTCTCGGCTGGCGGGGTTTATGCGCTGAGCCGTTTGCCTCCAAACCAGGATCTCATGCTTGAGTTCTGCAGGGCAAAGAGAGAACGGCACCTGTTCAGTGCATGTACGACACACAGACTTCAAAGTTACAGTGATGAAGCTCAGCAGCAGAATGCAGTACGCTTATAACGGATATTTGTCTGGTAATATCTTCTACAGCTGAGAGAACATGGTGATGTTTTCAGTCAATATGCCCAATATGTGAGCCCCCACAGAGGGCCTAATGCAGCCTGGCGATGGGTGCATTGACCAACCCAGGAACCGCCAGTGCTCAAACACAGATACAGCCTGAGGATATGGGACCCTTATGTAGATATCAGTAGGTGCCATCCTTTTTCAGGAAGGTTGCTAGGTGACCATAATAGGATCTAAGCAGTGCAGGGGGAAAGAGGAAATAAAAACATTTCCTGTTAGCAAATCTGCACAATTACCAGCCGTGGCGGGGGGTTTGAGCTGATCCAGCCACATGCACTCTTAGCAAGACCAGGCTGGCAGGAGAAGAAGAAGAAACTCCACGGGGTCAGATTTAGGCCAGCATCGAACGGTCACCGTGGTGATGGGTAAAAGCTTGCTTTAGTTTGCCCGCTGCTCAGTGTGACAGAACAGCTCCGAACAGTCGGTGTTGCTCACAGCTTAAATGTGAGGATTGTGGTGACCACTGAGCAGCCTCATGGTCTCTGCTTCAATCATCCCATGCTGGGGTCATCTCAGAGGGGGGAAGTCTGATAGTGTGGGTAAACAATGATAGGAGGTGACTGTGTTTCCGGAAGAATTCTTAACAGTTTCAAACAAATATCTTTTTTCTTTTATTGTTGTTGTTGTGTTTTGTTTTGTATGCTTATTATCTATCTCCCCAGAGTCTTACAAGCCAGATCTACAGTAAGACAGAATGATGGAGGACAGTCATGCTCCAAACCACCACAGTCTGTCATCCTTTCTCTCTCTCTGAACATTGTTCCAAGTCTTCAGGGATGGCCAAATCATTTTCTTTCCTGTTGCTGGATAATTAAGAAGATACATAAAAGGGCTGTGGTACACCAGATTAGATGAATAGTTTTTTAATAGAAAAGAAAGGAGTCCCGTGTCGCTATCAGGCTGCTCTCTGGATGAGTGAGTCTGTTCACTGCCAACTAGTCAGAGCAACTAAACATCAGAGTAAAGGGGTTTTCTCACATGAGCCATGTGGTGTCGGACACACTGTGAGTCACCAGACCCTCGAGGGATGTTAGCTGGTGAAAAAGGAGATAAAGGCATTCTACCCCAGTAAATGATGTCTGAGTTAGGTTATCATCACAAATACTTTTGAATTTTAAAGGTCAAAAAGTTAGTTTTATCAAATTAATTGTAAACTTTGTTCACCAAGAGGCCCAAACTTTGGCATCGAGGCTCTGAGCTCATGTTTCCACCGCTGAATCCCGTGCAGGTGTGTTTTTAGAGTTTCTTTAACCTGCCTACATTTGAAGAGCATCTGCAAGCCACTTTGCAACGCATCTTCACCCCACTTCATGTCAAACCTTTATACTGCTGCACTCCCCACTTTCATGCTCACGCGTACACATGGAAGGGTCCCACAGCCCTATCACCAAATATACCGTTATGTGAAAAGGTTTTTCACAGGTTTCACAGTAGCTTGTAGATTCAGCTTTAGTTTTCTTTTTGTTAACTTTAATACTTAGCATGCTAACGCTTGGGGTTTTTCCAGTTTCTCTGAGCATTGCACGGTCTGATCTTGGGACCGTCCACTCCTCGGAAGATTTTGGGTTCAACAATCCTGAATACTCAAGAGCAAAAAACTGCACAATTTTTGTTTTTACAGAGGTGTTCACATTGTTGATGATCAGTGCACCTGACTTACCCTCTTATTCCCTATTCAAAGAGTAAGGCTTTACCTGCAGAGAGTCAGGAAAACTTTCTTTTTCACATATAAATGACTGCAGAGGGAAATGAGCATCTTTCAACTGTAGTGGTCCCGACTGAGGTAAAAACGTTGAAGACAGAGGTGGTGGATGGATCGAAGCAGCAGGCAGAGATGGAGGGCAGCAGCACTGCCACTGAGGCTTTTATATATGATGTGAAGAGATTGAAGAATGTTACACGTGCATGATGGGCAGCTTGGTTTGACTGTCGAACTGGATCACAGGCTTTGTTCCAATTATAAACTTTTTTTTTTAAACCTTGACTGATGTGGAAATCTGTATCACCCGGCTCTGAAGACTACTCTTCAGCAAAAAGTATGAATATTTTACAATTCCACTCCCTTCTCAATAAGGCGAACACAGTACTTTTTTTGGTTATTTTGTATGTTTTTGTTTTTTGTTTTTAGTATAAAAAGGAACAGGGAGTTCTGTCCTGTGTTCCTAAATAACAAACCTCCAGGAGAGGCTCCATTGAGCATGACCTTTTCAGACCTCTCCAAATTAAGTAACCTACTTTAAATAATACAATAAAAAAAAAATCACGCACACACACAACCATGAACTATTACATCACACACACAGAATCTTTTTGCAGCAATATATGATCCAGAAATGTAATATCGGAGATGGCAGAGATATCTAACAGTGTGAGTGGAACAGTGTGGAAATTGAAAAAGTGAAAACTGAAGGCAGCACGCATCTCAAGTGGAAATTAGAGGGATGAGGCTGTAATGCCGAGTTAATTATGTTTGTGTGAGGCCAGTGCCTGAGAAGGTTTATTGGGAAGCTATTGTGTGCAAAGATGTTATTGGGAGTTAATACTCTTCTTAATAATACTCAAAAACCATCACAAATGATTTCAGGTTGTGCTGTATCCAGCAGGTAACTATATTTTTTATAACTCGAGTCCACTCAGCTTAATAACCATCTAAAAAAATATTTTTCATGTAGAAAAACATAAATTAACCCAAAAAACTACTTTTTAAACTGAAAAAATGTTAAACTCGGACATGTGACATCACCATTTTGATTGTTTGAAACCATGTTTGACCATAATCAGTGGATCTGACTGAGAAACAGAGGGATGCTGGTAGAGTAGCATCTTGTCAGTCAAAGCTCCGCCCTAAGACACCACAAGTATTATCATCTTTTTTTACTCTACTGCAAACATTAGAACATTAGAGCCAGAATTCATGAAAGTTAACTTTCTTACAGTGTTTAAAAAATTACAAAATTACATGTAATTACATGTAATTATATTACTTAGAATTTTTTGAGTATAGGTGTCACCCTCAGCAGTCTACAGGATTAGAGTATCAGTCTATGAAAAAAGCAGTGCTACTTACCAACTATTTCAATGGACTCTTTGTTGTAAAGTTTTTTGTTCCAGTAGAGCATCCGCAGGAAAGGAAATGAGGTAAAAAGGACGAGGCATATTCCGAGGAACATGTAGCCTGTGAAACTGGCAAAATCAATCCCCTGTAGGAAACATAATGAAAATGTGTTAGACATTTGCCGTCTGGTCGAATTTCACCCAAACGTGACAAACTGAGCCTGGGCTTAGGCAAAAAATGTGTGCATGCAGCGATGGACTTTTATGGAGAGACACAGTGTGAAAAAAGTCGTGTGGTGTTCTGAGGAAAGAAAACTCAGAGTTCAGGAAAGCAGCTACCTAAAGTGTCCTCCCACACAAGTGCATTATAATGATGTCAGACTATGTTCCTTACTATATAAAGGGCCTTGAGAGCACTGAACTCTTGAGGATAGCAGGAGGTGCATTCACACTCCAAACTGTAAGTATGAGCCGCACAGCGTACCTGGAATTTTTGATTTAAGAGCGAAATGACACAGAATTTGATTATTGCACACAAATCGGTGCGATCTTTCATGTTCTGTCTACACTCTCCTTTGTAATTCCTGCTGCTCTATTTTCCTCGTCGCTTCAGTTTCCCACGCTGTCAGATTCACTTCACTCATCAGCCTCTGTTCCCCAATCAACCCTCCTCCTTCCCGTCTCCACCTCACTCACTGCATTTCACTCTTTATCTCCATCAGCCATCTGCTCCACCACCTCTAGCCACTATCTCCTGCCTTCATTTGGGATTCTGCTCACTGATGGTCCTCTCATGTGACTCCCAAAAAATACATTTTTGGGATAAAATTTTCCTCTTTTTTTCCAAATGGTCTCTCCCTGTTGTAAGGAAACTTAAAGTGACAGAAAAACAACAAAATATAAATAAACACTTGGGTGTTTCTCATTGAGCAACATTTAAAGACACTGCAAGTAGCTCACGCTGCCTTTATTTCACATGCTTTCACAGTATAAAGAACACGTTTCTGATATTCAGTGATAAAACTGGTTAATAGTAAAAGGGTGATGCAACTAAACATGAGTGGAAGTGTCTGAATTATTAAACAGCAGATTTAATCCACATATTCCCTTTGGATCACAGAGTTAATTTTGTCACTTGTAGCACATCCCGGCTACATCCTGGTTTATGCGCACCCCCATGGAGACCTGCTCTCCATCTGCAGTGACCTGCAGGGCAGCCTGGTGGACTGAGAACAGCTGCTTGCATGAACCTGCTGTTTATGAAAAAAATTCACAATTCCTGTTAAAATCTCGGTTTCAGCGATGAAACTAAAAGCTGAAGAATAATAAAATGTTGTGTGCCCGCAGCCTAATGAATACAATATGTGCTTGCGACGGTCACAAGACCAAAAAGAGAGAAACTTAAACTTGTTGATGTGATTGTATTTCTGTTTGCAGCCATAAACTGCGACCCCAGTATGTCCATATTTCAGAGCCAATGTCAACGATTCTGGTTGGAGGGGATCCAATTGGCAAGGAAAGTCCCTCTGTGAAATGATACCAGAGTTTTCATATGCACAATGGTACCTTGGATTGCAACAAGCTAAAGAGACGGACACTGTGATGAGGAGCAGAACCTAAACGCATACACACTTTACGGACGTGCCTTTCTTTCCATCTCCAGATCCCTAAAATCCCCTCGCCACATACAAGCCAACAGGCAAACTAACTAACGGGTAAGCAGACCGCGCACGCACAAACAAGCTGTGCTTATCGCGGGCCAGACATGACTGAACGAGTGTGCCGTGGCTGTAACCCTGCAGTTCTGTCACCTGGGAAATGGAGCCAAGACAAACTGGACAGTGGGCTGTGGAAACCTGGCGCTACAGGAGCTACAGTAACCCGGAGACCACATATTGCTCGCGTCGGCAAAGGCCAAAATGTCACATGCACTGAACAGATGTCACATCAAGCAGTTGTGAAAATGTCATGTCTTCTAGAGATTTAGCATCATGCTCCTCTGAGTATACAAAGAGTGAAGGTTATGAGAGGAACATGCAAGTCAATGCCCTTTTCAGACAGCGACACTCTGCTCTGATTAGCTTAGTAAAATGTTGTCACTGCTGTTTCAGCTTTGTCCAAACTTGTGCAACAGATGACAACTTGTGTCTAAGTGGGTTTCCAAAAGGCTCAGGTAATGAATAATGGCTGGATTTTAGTTAAGCCAGAACATGGATCATCATAGAATACAGATCAACTTGACAAGGCAGTACTGGTGTAGTACTGGGACTGCAGACTGTGGCAGCTTTTCACTGGGAGTGACCAGGATGGAAAAGATCATACATCAGAGGGACAGCTGAACCTGAAAGTTATTGGATGTTTCTAAAAGTTAGAGGCAAGGATGAGATAGTGTAACATGTGCAAAGGAGGGACACGGTAAAAGGAAGACTACAGAGAAGATTTATGAATGAAGGAGGAAGTAGGGCATGCAGGGTTGGTGTGACAGAGGGCTAGGATGAGATGGAGGCTAATGATCCTAAAGGGAGCATCCAGAGGAAGCAGAAGGAGAAAGTAGTTATAATGTGCTGTAGTAGAGAACTCCCAATTTCTAAAAATGGGAAAAGTTCCACTTTCTGACTTCTTGGGCTTTCCAGAATAAATGGAGCCCACAAAAGTAAAAACAAGGGTTAAGACAATTAACTTTGGATTTTGTACCTGGTTTTGATTGCAGGAAATACTGTTTCTGTAAGTATGAGGGACATAATCCAACCACAAGCCACGTTACAACATTCACAAAACAGGAAGGAGCAGAGAGTTTTCTATCAACAGCTACATGGCGCAGGTGTCCATCACTACAGGCTGCTACTTCCACACACGTGGAGGTTTCTGCTTTGCTTTAACCACACTCCTAACATCCTGTCATAAAACCTCACTACACCGATCAGGATACGTAAGCAGGATGCTGGCATTTCATTAGCAAAATCAGCTTCATTGTAACAGCAATCATCAATACCGATTCAATATGCTATATTCCTGAAAACTAAAATAAAATGTGGGCTACTTAATAGAAGCACTCTGATTCATTGAGGCCTGACTCATTGCAAATACTGCTGGTTCATTTTGATTAACAGGAAGGGAGCCGGCTCTCCGTGGATCTCTCAGAGGCTAAGCAGAGTGTAACAGCCACTTTTGAGGGGTTTCTGGTGCAGCCAGCAGATATCCTGCTGTTCATTCTGAACTTTATCCACTAAAATGATTTAGTTGAACTCAAACTGAAAGAGGGCTGCAAACCAGAAAGCTTCCGATACTAAAAATGTTTTCCGTTGACTGCAGATCCTGCATATCCTGACACATTAGCAGAGATGGGATGATTGAAAACACTTTTATAACACATCATCCACCACTGGAAAAAAGCTGGGTGTTACATGGTTTCACACATTATTGCATCAGGAGTGGCAGTCTTCCTCACAGGTTTAATCAGAGACTAACCCCAAAGCTGGGGTCACATCACATGTAGATGGCTTTACCAACACACTGTAAGCTTATACTGCTACAAACGTCACAGGAAGGTGAACGAATAGAAGGTGTTATGCTACACAGCTGTCACAGCTGCTGCAAATGATTACATGTAAGAAAATAAGGGAAAATGGCTGTATGGATTTTCACACAAACACTGTACATGTGTAAATGCAAACCTTTGACCAGGAACAGAAATAAAATCAACCTGTAACGCTGGTCAGCTGCACTGAAATAAGAGGAGGTAGCAGCTTCTTTTCCCACCGACATCTTGACATCTTTAATTCTTGTGATTTATGATAGCTGCTGCAAAAATATAAATTGGATTCATTGCCACTACATCTCCATTCATCACCTACACATCAACGTAAACAAGGGTCACCACTCACGACTGTATAAATACATGGACAGATTGCGCTAAACAAAGATTGCAGATGTACAACCCTGCAAACACAGATGATTACATTTGCTCACAGGACAGGAAAAAGTCTATATGTACAGTGTACATGCGTGTGCGTGCTGGAAATGCAGCATCAGGCTGTTAATTCCTCAGTTTGTATGAGAAAATATGAAGGCTTAAAAAACATGCAACCTTTAAGGAAACACTAACTGTACACAACTGAAAAATATTATTTTCATTATCATCTCCTGTAGATCGAAGTTACATTCAATTAAAAAAAATAATTCTGTCCCTTCAGACTGAATTATTGTACAGTCTAATACCAAGTTAAATATCATGACTGAATTTAGCAAACATTCTCAAAGCCTGTTTATAAAACCTCAGTATTCAGTCTGTTCATGCTGTAACACAGACGCTTTTCCTCCTCCGTGCAGAGATTTTACCTGCTGACTGAAATCCTCACAAGGTCCGGTTTGAAAAACAGATTTAAATAAAGGAAAAAGAACAGCTGTTCAATAAAATTTTAAAAAACTGATAATGATAAAAGAAAAGGTTTGTCATTATTTTTTAACCATTATTAATCATCATTTTTAATCATGAGCTTATAACTTAACTTTCTACCCCATAGCCCTCCAGTTGTGGTACCCCCCAAATTAAGTTCAGTGGGTCATTCAGTAGGTCATTCAATGGGTCTTTCATTTGGTCACTGAGTGGGCCATTCACGGGGTCGTTAAGTTTATGGAGGAGGTTGAGTAGACATTTCCTGTGGTGATCATCAATGTTCAAGTGCATAGTGTGGAGGATGTCATGATGCCTTGAGGCAATCAGATGTAAAACACAATATTTCTGAGTGTTTTAAGTCAGATTTGACCCGAACACGACAGGGAGGCTAAGCTAAGTATGGTTACTTCAGGCTCTAAGAAGCCAAAAACGCAAAATGTGAGATTTGAAATTAGGAGTTCACAAGCCAGTGTGATATGCATCGTGTAAACTTTTACCAAGCACTTGCAAGATGTTTAGCCTCAATCCTTTTTTCAGCCAGTACTAACAAGTAAATCTACCTGTCAGTGTTGTACACATCAGTAATGTCTTTGCTTTGCTAGATGATTACTGTATATTCGAGCTGTGAAGGTGCCTACTTCTCTGCGCAGGTCCTGATTTGATACTATAATCACATTGGGCGGATCTCCGACAGCTGTGGCGGCCCCTCCAATGTTGGTGAAGATTACTTCTGCAATCAGGACATGTCTGGGGTCTAGATTAAGCACCTCACACAACCTGCAAAATCAGACAGACAGAAAAGCCCTTTAGTCATGATTAGATTACAAAGGGTGGGGTAAATAGAGAAATATGAAAAGGATGTTGGTATTGATCCTTTAACCTTTTGTGCAGGACAGCCACACACAAACCAAGTGGACAGCAGTATGTGTGTGTGTGTGTGTGTGTGTGTGTGTGTGTGTGTGTGTGTGTGTGTGTGTGTGTGTGTGTGTGTGTGTGTGTGTGTGTGTGGAATGTATTCCACCTGAGAATAAAAAAAAAAGGGCACCTTATAGTGACGGGAGTAAAAAGCATCATAGTGGTCACGTTGTCCAGAAAAGCAGATAAAATGGCAGCAATGAGACAAAGGATGATGATCATGGGCCACACTCTTCCTCTGGCTAACTGGTAAGCCTGCCAAGTGGAGACAGATAATGGAGAGATGAGGTTAGGTTGTTTATTATCGGCACCGCCAAAACAGCTGACTCAGAAAACACATCCGGCACAGCTTCGGACCAGTTCTGACTGTTCTTTGGTGTGTTTAAAAAATCTAAAAATATGTAAATCTTTCCATAGTAGCACAAGATATAATATCATTAAGATTCATAAAGAACTGCACATGGATTCCCACTTTAAAACAGCACTCTTACATCACCAGGTCAGGATGGCCACCTTTCAAAGGTAACGGTGTGATGTGTGAGAGCTGCTGAGCTCTTCTCTGAGAATACATTTTAATTTGGCGTGGCTGCTTCTTCTCCAGGTCGCACTTAAAATTTACATGCTTGCATGATCTCACTGTTTTCCAGGACTCGCTGTACCTGACGCACAAAAGTGCGTCAGGCACAAAAGTGCTCGTCCTCGTTCACCATGTACAGCGCACATTCGGTATAAAAGATTGCTGTTTTTCTTTGAAAAGAGAAGACGGATGTGTTATCTTCAATAGTAGAGCAAAAGAATAATTTGAGAATGTGTATTCCTCTGTCATATGGAGGACAGATAGGACTGTGAAACTGTAGCGCTTTTTTTTTACAGTTGCAGTTAAAGAGCACTTCTTCCCGGAAAAAACCCCATAAAATCTGATTATTTTGAAGATTTAGTTTTCTGAACTTCACCTCGAAACACAACGAATGTCATCCTTGTCAGCCTTTACTGCTGTTACTGTATTTTTAGGTCAGGATGTAAAGATAGATTTGCAAACTTGATAGGTTGTCTGACATTGGAAAGGTCCTCCTTTGTGAACCTTTGTGACATTGGATAAGTCAAAATCAAAACTACAGTCGTGTCGTGTGTTGCTGCTAATTTCAGAAATAGCTCAAAGCCTGTCGAGACATCTCACAAGCGGGCAGCTTATTTCATACACTTCCGCTCAGCATCCTACAGCCCCTTAAATATCTTGAGGTTATTTTTTTAATCTAGCGAGCGCACACAAGACATTCATCAGAAGTGATCATCTTGTGCTAAAATTATCTTATGCAAAAAAAACAAGAAATATTTTGTATCGACAAAAACTTGTCACCTTCCAAATTTAAGTAGGTTGAACAGGATCCCACGTGATTGAAAGTAAACAGAAATTTAAAATCAATTCGATGCTGTATGTGGGCCTTTGTGTTCTTACTTACAGTCATGTGACAAAGAGAGTTGTCATCAGCTTGTGGAACCAGCAGCAATAACCTGAGGTAAATGTGACTTCATCAATCTCTTTTGGCCCGTTTTTCTTTGCAGCATCGCTTCAGATCATTGAGGATTGTGGATATTCATGCAAAGCTCATTTCTTTCAGATCGGGGTCCATTCTGTTGTACGTTTGCTCCTGTGCTTGAGATCAATGTCCTGTTTCATGACTTGGTTTGGGCCAAGCTTTAGCTGTAGTACAGAGATGGCCTCTTATTTGACTTTAGAATACTTTGGTTTACAAAGAAGTCCACGATTAATTCAATGACTGCAGGGTGCCCAAATCATTACCCCTCCACCACCGTGCTGACAGTTGGTATGCGCTGTTTGGTTTTCTCCAAACATGCTGCTGCACATTGTGGACAAACTTCTCCACTTTGGTCTCCTCTGTTCAAAGAACATTGTTCCAGAAGTCGTGAGGTTTGTTCAGATTCAGCTTTGCAAACCTTAACCCTGCTGCCATCTTCTCTTTTAGAGAGAAGCTTTCTCATTCAGACTTTTTCTAATTTTCTCATCAACATCAATTATTAATATTATCATTATTATTATCATAAATCAACTTACCTTCACTGCACAGTAATCGAAGAAGCCAGTCTCTGAGAAAATGGCCACCAGCACCATCTGTGTTGTTGAAAAGAAGAATTTTCCTTTAAGTAAGATTATATCTCCCTGTGAGATTTCAGAAACGGCCCCCTAAGATAATAAGATGCTGCTTATCTTGGATGAGATGGTCAGAATGAAATATGTGCCTGAGTTCCAGGGTTCATTAATACGGTACTCGTGTCTCTTTATTACCTTCCTTATTATCATCGCGATGAGTTCAAAAATGTTTTTACAGGTAAGTTCGAGGATTTGAAACTGCTTTTAAATGGATTCCAGAAATGTCTCAAACTCCCTCTTCATAATTTTATACCATAACTGACATATTTAGGACATGTTTGTTTCCATGGAGACTGGATTTTTTTTGTTGTTCGTTTCACTCGCCTCCATAGAAATGTATTTCGCTGTCAGACATTCAGAAGACTGATAGAAAGGGCGCAGAGTGCAGTTGAGAGAGTCAGAGAGCTCTTTTTTTAATGCTCTGAGATTTGTTGAGTCAGTGAACATGTGAGGAGTTAATCACCATGCCAAACAGAAGAGCCAGCGTCTCATAGTCGATCCACTCCACCACTGTAACAAGGCTGGGTCTCTGTGGGAGAGACAAAGAATGTAATTACACAGATTTATCAAGAATTTCTGGATCTGAAGGGGAAAAAACAAAAGGACAAGCTTAATAAATGATGATCAGACTCGTTAACAGCGTTAAACTTTTGGGTACGGCTGTGTCTGGATGCTGCTATAACTCCTCGCTGGCCCAGTTCCTGCTTCATTTGCCGAAGCAGACAAAAGCACAGGTGGAACTAGGACCACGAATGACTGCTCTGTTCCCAAAGCGTCCCGCTGAGGTGAAAATGTCCACTACTCTCAAACTTGGGCCAGTGACTAAATTTGGAAACACATAGATGTTAATGAATGACAAACTTTGAAATTAATCATGACATTTCAGAAATTAATCCTGCAGTTTCCACTGGTTTTGTCTGTATTGTGTGGCACAAAACGTACTTACGCCTGAATAACTGTTCAACCATAACTCAAATACATGAATCATATGTTAAAGCGTTCATAATATGTTCTGAATGTACCACTGCATCCCTAAAAAATCAGTAAAATCAAATAACGAGAGAGACTTACATTCCCGATGATAGACAGAGCAGCTAAGGCTGCCAAAGATCCCAGCATGGCAGCCAGGGTGCGGTGCACAATCTGAAAGGACAAAACATTTACCACACTCACTTCTAAACAAACGAGCACTCACCTTCACATTAACTCTGTAAATATTTTTAAGCAGTGTAACATTCCTGTTCGTTCTGATGCCGTCTCAGTCATCTCTCGACTGATCTGTGAGGCATCTCTGGAGGAAGGAATGGTTTGAAAAAAAAATTCTGCAGCCATTTCTTGAAAACGTTTATTGTTATACAGTAGGAGTCACATGCCTGGCTCTTTTGTCCATCTGCATCACCATCCTCCTGTGGCTTTGACTAATGAAAATAATAATCCTAATGTGAAAAAAAACACTGTTTTTTAGGACATTTTAAATACAAATTAGTCTGTTTTGTTGGTAAATAAAATACTTCTTCATTTTAATTGTTTAATTTGAGGGAAAAGGGCAGAAAACAGTATTAGCGCTCCAAACAATCACAAATAGGCAGGCAAACACTGATAATTATTTACATCTGTTATTCTTGTGTGTTCTGTTTGATTTATTGTTACAGAGGAGGTCTTCTGTGAGGTTTTCTGCTGCTAGCATTACTGATATTATTCTGAGGACTATTATATATAAGAGAAAGCACCTGCGTGAATGACAGCTGCAGCGACTGGGACGAGGAGTCAAGAAAGTCTCGTGATCCATAAGATCTATGATGTTCTGTCATTTTCATCTATCAAAGTCCACAGTGCTATTCAGAGGCGCTCAATACCACACATGCAAAAATATAATGCATCTTAAAATGAGTGCGTGATGAGCACAGATGATCCTTTAACATTTCATGTTGTGTTCAAAGGAGAGACGCTTGTTATTTTGGGATTTAACAGTAACATTTGTGTGAATTATTTATTATGTAGAACAACTACTGTGTATATAATGAATATAGAAAGCAAACTGTTTAACGATGAAAACGCTGCTTTTTTTTAGAGTAAATCAGAAATATTTTACTGACACAGTAAAAGTGCATTCGTGTTGCAAAACCATCAACATTTGACTCTAGGCACAAAAAGAAATGAATGAATGTTTTTAAAAGTCAAAAAAGACATTTTGACATCTGAATTACTCTTGATTTTTAAGCTTTAATTGCATAAATTAATGTGAATTTAAATGTGCTTAACATTTTTACAACATTTTATGCCACTCTGTGTGTTTCTTGCACAGCGTAAGAGGCTTTCTTTAGTCTATTTTATTTCCTTTAGTTACCATGTTTTTATTGACAGATCTGAATCTAATTTTATTGGTAAAAATAAGTTAAAAACAACAGCATCACAGTCGCAGTGTCTTTAATGCATTACCGACCTTTGTGAACTGCTCAGCACTAAACTGGGTCTTGTCACTCACAATGAATAATAGCTCAGACGCTCTGTAGACATTTATAATCTATTTGTCTTAATACTTCTGCTTAAATAATGAGTAAAGTGGAACAAAAGCAGCGAAACTTTCTTCAGCCTCAGCCTGTCTCAAAACTGACAAAATAAAAATTACATCACAGTTCTTTACTTCAGATCTTTTAGAACATTTCACTGAAATGCCCATTTAAAAAAAAAAATCACAAACTGGTGCCCAATTACCAACACTGACAAATCCCTTTGTTTGAGCTCAGCATTCAGAATACCCTAAATGTGAGAGACTGCATATGCACTCACTCATTCGGAGGCTGCGTCAAGTTATCAGACTAGAGACTAAAAGCATAATTCTGTGGAGGAGTGAGACATTAGCAAATGGAGACCTGACAGCGCCGAAGTCAGACAGCATCCTGATGTCTGAGCGCTCGTGCACTGCATGCTCATCTCTTTCTGAGACGATCCCTCTGTCTTTGAATTACAGCTTCTGTGAGAGGATCTGTCAGTTACACAAGCGACGCATGAGCGAGCGTGCAGAGTAAAACTGCGCTGTCATCTCTCAAGGCCTGCGCTTGACTTTCATGTCCCAGCGACCCCGTCGGTACAGTTTAGTGAGTTCACATGCTCTCAGACAGAGGAGTCTGTCTGATTTAAACAAGCAAACGCTGAGTGGAAGTAAAACTCATATCTAAAGCCACAAACCAAGAACCTCCTCAAAGTGATAGCGGTTTCAGAGATTGATACTCATCTGATTATATAAGTCATATATTAATCATCCATTAATGATGCAGATCAGAAAAGTATCTGACTGCTGCCTGAAACATGCATTCTTCTTAGTGTCCAGCAGGGGGCAAGTGCTCTGGTTGCAAAAAGACTTGGTTGCGTGGATGTTAAAAAGCTCAACCAAAACAAGACATGATGCACTGCTGGTCATATCATATCAAGGTCTTGAGTCAATTTACAGTGTTTTGGGAGTTTTGTTTATCTAAATACTCTTGGTTTTCTAAGTGTTTGTATTGTTTTATGTATTTTTCCACTTAGTGCATTTAATCCGCTCTTGTTTTAGAGTTTAATGCATCTGTGTCAAGTCTAATGTTCACTCTCCCGCTGAAGGAGGGAAGCATGCAATCTGTTCTGTTTGTTTGTTTGTTAGCAGTCTATGGTCTACAGTTTCCAAGATATCCTGCTCAAATTTTGTGTGATGGTAGATATCAATAACAGCTTGAGCTGATTTAATTTTGGCAAAAATCAGGTCAAGGTCACACCAAATTTGAAATTCAGTACGAGCATTTGACCTTCATTATTAGCACCCAAGGTCAAAGTTATCCTTGGAAAAAAATTCAAGAAACCACCACTTAGTTTTTTCAATCCAATGCCCTTTGATGTCACAATGACTACAAAATATTGCAAAATCACACACTGGATATCTGAAAATGTCACGTTTTAACAGCTGAAGATTTCAGCCAATTCTGTTCCAATCATATGGGTAAAGATAATAAAATATATATGACTTTATTATGTAATGCTTAAAGCTCATAGGTCAAAGGTTGCATGTTAGCATGCTGCGATATAAACATTGTAAAACATCGAAGTTTTAGTATAGCCCTTGACCTTTAGGGGGAGCTCTATGAGCTTATTTCACTTCCTGCTTTATTTTGAGCTTCAGCGTTCCTTGTGCTTTGCTTTTGTCTCCTCTTCTGTGATTTAGTTCAGCTGTCTCTCGTTCTCCCCACCTGTTTCCACTTCCTCTACTGCCATACTGTGTGTAAATTTACAGTTGCTGCCTCCCCCTTTGTCAGAGCATCTGTTCTCCTTGGTCTAGTGATTCTCCTCAGTATGTTATCAGGTTTTCCTCATTGGGCTCTGTTTTGCAATCAATCAATAAATGACTTTCTTTAAGTTCAGCACAGAACAGAGTTCATCTTTTAGTTAAGTGAATTCTTATTGGAAAATACAACATATAATATGAGGAACACAGTCATTTTATAGTAATGACACAGAAGTAGCTTTTTTTAAAAACTAATAACATAGCTCCCCATTTCTGTTTGGCTGCTGTCATCTGTCTGATTTAATTGTGTTGGGAGCGGTCATCATTCAGTGTTGCCAAATCCCAGTCCAGTACTATGTGCAATCATAGACACACTTCAGCACCATTAACTGAGGAGGGCAAAGTTTAGTCAATTGTCCCGCTCTGACAGGTGCATCGAATCTAATAAAGTTAACACAAGTGGGGCGGCGCTGCCACTGAGGCACAGACTGCACATGCTCACTGGCAGAAGAAGTCTAATCAGGCGAAATAAAAACACCTGTGTGGCAATGAGATACCGGTGAGGCTCTTTTTTTTCCCATGACTTGGCAGAGTAGGAAAAGCACAGGTGCTGCTTATACCGTTAACGATTGCTCTGCTCTATTTCAAGTGTCCCTGCAGGCCATAGGAGTGTGACAGTGAGCCAGCATGAACAATACCAGGAGCCTGAAAGTGGAGCAGCTGAATGGAATTCAGCCATAATCAATTTTATAAATCCCACCTGTTTTCTTTTTCTCTGACAGTGAAATGTTTTTAATTCTCGGATTAAAAAAATGATGTCTGAACTAAACGCAGCTCTGGAGATTCAGTTTCCCGGTCCTCATTCTGACTCAATGAGCATACTTCTGTTTACTTTGTGCTCGTAGCATAATATCACACATGCGGTCCAGTGTTCTTGTGTGAGTGTGTCGTTGTTGTTCGCGGGCCGCGCTGAACTGTGCGTTTCACATTTCAAACTCTTCCACAGACACCGAAAACAAGCTCGTTCATCACCCGTAGAAGAGCGTGAGCACCACAGGCTATTTACCTCAAAGATGATGAGAACATAGACCCCAGCTAGGATGATTCCAGCGATGGCCACCTGTGTCTCCACGCTGACGTAAAGCGGCTGGTGGGTCATGGATAGCGGCACCACCTCGTTATCCTGCAGGAACGCCTGAATTGTGATGGCGATGGGATCACTGTGCAAGAAATGAAATGGCAACAAGAATGGTGGGAATGATCATCTTTCATTGCTTTTGCTGGAATTACGACCGTCTGTCAGAAATCTATCAGCAAAGACAAAACACCAGAAACACCTTAAGTCAAGTTATATTGTTTAATTTGCTCCTTTTCGGTGGGTATCATAGCGCTTTCAAAATCAATGCCACCTATCAAACACATTTTATTCAATTAATTGTTTTTCATTTACATTTATTTCTGTGGGACTAATTCACAACACCAATCATTATAGTACATCACATTCAGTAAAGTCTTTATAAAGAGACAAAAGGACAACACGCTATGCAGAATTCCCTTTCAACAGGAAGAGACCTCCAGCAGAACCAGGCCCAGAGAGGTGCAGCCATCTGCCATAACTGGGGGGAGTGAGGGGGAATAGAAGAGGAAAAGAGGGACCACAAACAGCACAAAACTCGAGCTGCAGAAGAGAGAAGTTAATGACGACAAGGCGCAGCAGTGAAAAAGGTCTCAGTGCATCATGGGAAGTCTCCCACCAGCCTGAGCCTATTGCAGCAAAACTAAGGGATGGTTCAGCCATAAATATATGACCTTTATCAAAAAGGAAAGTTTTAAGCCTAATCTTAAAGAAGAGAGGATGTCTGTCTCCTGAATCCAAGCTGGGTTCCAAAGAAGGGCCTGAAACCTCTAGGCTCTGCCTCCATTTCTATTTTTAGAAACTGTAGGAACCACAAGGAGCTTCTTAAAGCTGATAATAAAGAATTACATCAGTCCAGCATAGAGGTAACAAATGCGCGAAATACTTTTTCAGCATCCCTCTGAGACAGGATGTTTGTAATTTCAGTGATATTGATAAGATGAAAGAAGGCCATCCTACAGAGATTTGTTCAGTGTTTGAGCCCCAGAAGCCTCAGAGCTCAGACACCCAGGAGGGATCTAATCAGATGCTCAAGCTGGCTCCTTTTAAAGTGAAGGAGCAGCAGTTCTACTTCAAACTCTCCCAGAAACTCATCTCAGCCATTTGTATCTGCAGAGCTCCTGACCAAAGGAACGTAGATCAAGTCGAAAACATGTCCAGGCTTATCAAGCAAAAAAAAAAAAAAAAGGTCAAAGAAAGTGACTTTAAAAAAAACCAGAACAGAGAGTAAAGAGTTGCTCTCTTGAACCAGCAGACTTGCTCGCTGGATATATTGTGCATGTCTCTGACACCAGTGGCTTCTAACTGGGATAAATGTTACACACTCTAAATGATAAATGCACACACAAAGAGTCAGAAATATGACAGTAAAGGTGGTAGAAAGCGTGCAAACTACACTGCTTTGAAAGTCAGAAAGGTTAGCTTTAAAATTATTATTGGTTTTGTTGTTTTTGTATATCACATAAACAACCCCAGTGATAACCAGAACTACTTTTAGGCCCATGTGACCATTAAAACCGAGGCGGTCATATCAATACACTGTCACAGTATTCTGAGTACCTGTTGAGCATCTCAAAGGTTTTTGTTTCCACTATCTGGTCGCTTCTTTCTGCATGTAGAGGGATGGTCCAATTATGAGTCACCTGTTTACAAACAGCACAATATAAATGAGGCAGAATCTCATTAGTGTAATAATACTGCGAGGAAGTTGGAGCTCGAGGCTGCTCTCACCTGCTGAGTCCTCCTCCGCCGCTGTCCTGGCTGCTCGGTCTGCTCTACCTGAATGAGGATGTACTCCTGAGTGGTCAAATCTATCATCCCCCCTGCAAAAGGCCCGGCCACCTGTAGCTTCAGTAAAGCATTGTCCCGAAAATCAGTCACATTCATTGCTGTGAGACGTGGGCGGTCAAGAGAAAAATCCAGACACATTGAATGTTTTGTGCATTTGAAATGAACGGGGGCATTAAATCCACACCTAGAGTGTGTTAGCATGGCTCATACTCGATGTAAAACAACCCTGCTTCATTTTCCAGCCCTCTCCTCTTTGCTGTGATCTCAGAACTAGTAGGGCATGTCTACGGTAAGTCACTGGAAAGGATACAGAAACTCTCTGTGGAAGAGACTGCCAGCATCCTCCAGGGGTTGTCTCGATCAGGATACATGCTGAAGAACAGCTGGAACCAGAATAAAGTCATCGATATATTTTATAAAGAACATATTTTAAACAGGATCATAGCAGGTAATTTTAGTGACGACACACTGTGCTTTATTTACAGTGTTTACAACTGAAAACAGCTCTGATGCTCTGCATGGCTGGAGCTGCACTGTCTCTGCAGACAGCTCCGCTTCCCCCCTGCATCCACTACCAGCCAGTCATCCTGCCACACCTCTCCCTCCTATAGCTGAGCCACAAACCACACCCTACCACCACAAAGATGCACTACACAGATTCAGTGAATGCAGTTTTTATGAAAATGGTCTAAAATGTGGTGTTTTATTTGATTTAATCCAGTGAAGAGTAAACAGACCAAGAGGTGATTAGCTAAGGTTAGTATTAAAAAACAGAGGAAAGCAGCTGACCTAGCTATCATTAACTTTCAGTGATTTCAGTAATACCAAACAGCTTTTTTTGTAGTAATTAGGTTTTTACCATGTTATACTTTCCATTTTATTATGCGGTGGTGTCTGTTCTACGGGGACATATATACTTACACTGCAGAGAACAACAAATGCAAAGATGGTGGCAGTTTTGGAGACTTTGAAGCAGCATCTGGAAAGACCAAAAAGTGGATAGTGAGTTAAATTGAATGAGCTTGGTGTGATACTATTGGTTTTAAACCAAGAGGCTCAGGCCCCATAAAACGGTTTCAAGATTAATCTGTAACATGATAATAATTATCTTTTTCCACTGGCCCTACTTTTCCTTAAGCACTTTTATCTGTTTCTCTGAGGAATAATGGCATCACACTGAGGGATCAAATGGAGAAAAGAAGTTGGGACTCACTTCACATTGCTTGTGAACCTGAAGCTGAGGTTGAGGTTGTCCAGAGGGTCGTACTTCTCCGAGGAGCTGGAGTGCGATAGCGACAGGCTGGTGACCTCGCTGCCCAGCCGGTACCGCCTCTCCACGTCCAGGGAGCCGTTGTTCCAGGGCTCCTCCCCTCCAACAAAGCTGGGGTCATGTAGGGTCATGTAGGTTATGCTGGAAAATGAATAATCACAGTCTCAGCCCCTCATCAATCACTACACCTCAATATAAAAAAATAAACACAACACTCAGCAGCTGCAGATCGCAGAGGTCTAAAATTAAAAAATGTTTCTCCCATCATCCCATAAGTCTGTTGTACAACCCTGTAAGAAGGGCAGTACAACACACTTGTAGGATGAGTCATTTCATTTAATACAACCACTAATGTTCCATTGTATTTGTGCCTAACATGAGGCATTAAAGACATACACACACATACACACACGCATGTTGGGTATTCATATCTTGTGGGGACATAATGCTTTCCCTAGCCCCTTAGCCTTAACCCTAGCAATTAAAAATGAATGCCTAACCCTAAACCTAACAATAACCCAATTGTAACTTGTCATTAAAACGACATTCTGAGTGTCAAAAATGCCTTCAAACTCGTCGGGACCGGGATTTTGGTCCCCCCACTTGTTGGTCCCCACAAGTATTCAATTCTTCAATTCAATTCTTTATTTATTTGTCACATGTAGTTATAACTAGTACAACACACAGTGAAATGTTTTTTCCGGCTAAAAAGTACTCCCCCCCCCCCGACTGTGCATCTTACTAAACTTATAATAAAAAATATCTATATAAAAGTATAAAAATGTATAATATCGTGCAAAATATTACGCTGTAATAGTTAAGAGCTAAAGTGTACGTATTTACATAAATACAGATGTATATGATAAAATACAAATAAAAATAAGGGTAAAACTCAAAGGAAAATTATATACTATGTATGGAATTGTCCATCATGTTGTCCGATTTGTGTTTTGATTGAGGAGTCTCACTGTTTGTGGGTAAAAACTCCTCCTGAACCTTTCAGTTCTTGTTTTCAGGCTACAGAGGCGTTTCCCTGACCTCAGTGGCCTGAACAGTTTGTAAGCGGGATGGCTGGAGTCGTTAGTGATCCTGATGGCCCGGGATCTGCACCTTTCAGCGTAGATGTCCTGCAGTGTTGGTAAAGATGTTCCCATAGTGCGTTCAGCTGTGCGCACGACCCTCTGCAGGGCTTTCTGTTGCTGTACTGTGCAGTTCCCGTACCACACCGTGATGTTATTACACAGGATGCTCTCAATGACCCCGGTGTAGAATCTCCTCTGGATGTTCTTGGAGATCTTAAACCTCTTTAAACGCCTCAGATGATAGAGGCGCTGTCTGCCTTTGTTGATGAGGAAGTCCGTATGTGTGTTCCAATTAAGGTCCTCGTTGATATAAACACCGAGGTATTTAAAATTAGAGACTTTCTCCACAGGGTTTCCATTGATCTGAATTGGGGTGTGAGTTTTCTCGCCTCTCTGTCTCCTAAAATCAATCACCATCTCCTTTGTTTTGCTGATATTCATGGAGAGGTGGTTTGCCACACACCACTTTGCTAATCCGTCCACCTCGCTTCGGTAGGCCCTCTCGTCATTCCCGGAGATGAGTCCTACCACCACAAGTATAGTAAACTTCCAATTTTTGGTCCCCACAATGATATGAATGCACATTCACTCACACACACACACACACACACACACACACACACACACACACACACACACAGTCCCCTTTTAAGGAAAAATATTCCCGATTATAAAACTGCTTCTGTAAAAACCTTGGAGTTTAACAATGACAATTTCCCGATAACATATAATAAGACATTACAAAAAACATGTTTATAAATTTTTTTTAAACTTATTAGTCATTTAAGTGTGTTTTTTGATTACTAAAGCTTATTTTTCTTGAAGCTACAGCAGATCATCTGCCTCCACCTCACCGTATTCCAGCATCCTCCACTGCATGTCCTCCATCACTACATCCATTAATCTTCCCTGTGGTCTTCCTCTCTTCCTCCCTCCTGTTACACCTGTCTCCCTCGCATTCACACACATATATTCTGTCTTGCTTCTACTGACTTTAATCCTCTTCTCACCAAAGTATCCACCTCTCTTCCAGCTGCTTCCTTTTCTCACAACAGATCACAATATCATCTGCAAAAGTTAATCGTGACTCCTGGCTGACATCATCTGTCACAAAATGGGCTGCATGTCCACATCTGTGTAACTGTTTGTAGAAAGCATTGTCACAAATGATAGATTCTGATATGACCGTTGTACAGGTCAGTAGTAGATGGAACAAAATTATTATAAGTGAGGTTCTAATATCTCAATTAGCTGCTCAGTATTAAAAATATATATTAACTTTTGCAGTATTAAAAATACTGAGCATGTCAATGTAGCATAAAACTTGAAATTTCTAATACATTAAGTTGCTGGCTGGTTGTATGTTGTCTGAGAAGCCTCCTTAGAAATACTGCATAAGTAACTCTGATCATATTGTCTTCACTCTGATGCTGACTGATAACCCAAGCTCAAAACTAGCAGAGTAAATTTGCACTTTTGTTAAGCTCAAATGAAAATGCTGGCTTCACACTGCATGTTTGTATGCGTCTGCGTGTGTGTGTGTGTGTGTGTGTGTGTGTGTGTGTGTGTGTGTGTGTGTGTGTGTGTGTACATAAACTATGAAGCATCAACCTATAAAGTCAATGAAGCCCAACAACCTGCAGTTCCAGTTCTGTCCACTAGAGGCTGGCTCCAAAGCTGAGCCAGTGCCCGCACACTCCCATCTTAAAATTCCTTTAAAAATAGTTCCCTTTCAGTCGATTCACTCGGTACAACACATAAGTATGGGATATCACGCCCTCGCGTGTCCTGGCTGAAGAAACCTTTATTCACGCCTTTACGGCAGATGACGTGTGATGACACGCGCAAGGCCCCGCCCGCACATATAGCCGCTGCCATCACCGTCATCCCTCAGTTCTTACGCTCTTCACCTCGCTGAGAACACCTCTGCTGAGTTGGGCTAGCTAGCTACTGCTAGTTAGCTCCGTTGTCTGCCAACTTGAACCTAGCTTAACTGCCCCTGTTGGTGTTAGCCTCCACCGCCCAGCTGGTGCGTAGGCTGCCCGCGGAGCGCTATTTTCAAGTTTTTCTTGTGCAGCGTTTCGCTTTGCGTTTTGGGAATGGACTCCAAACCGAAGCGAGCAAAGCAGAAATCTTCTGTTCGCCCCTGTCCTCAGGGATGTGGTTTCTCTTTGCACGACAGCGACCAGCACGATGCCTGCCCTGTCTGCCTGGGGATCGTCCACGCTAGGAGAGCGTTGACGGAGCCCGAAGCTTGTGCGTTTTGTCGCCAGCTCCGACGCTCGACCCTGGAAAGACGGGTGACGTTTGTGGAAAGAGTGCTGGGACGCTCGGCTGTCGCACGGCATGACCCTCTTCTTTCCGAGTCTGGAGCCCCGGCTTCGTCCGAGTCCGAAGACGAAAATTTTCAGGTCGATGTCCCCGCGATTAGCTGGGCTGACCACATGGAATACGTTGACGGGTTAGCCGATGACGGACCGGAACCATGCAGGAGCGCTGACGGGCTTCAGCCTGGGTTGAAGCCCGCCAGCGCTCCCCAGGAAGACGATGACGTGCTGGACATCGGCCTGGACATCCATGGTTTGTCGGAGGATGAGCAGGAGAGCTCATTGTCGACCCAATATGCCGCCGCTGCTGCGCCGGTCGGCCACGATGACACCTCTCTTTTCTCCCTGTTTCGCCGTGCCGCTGAGAAGCTGCAGGTGGACTGGCCCTCTCCTCCACCAGCTCGGAAGCCGTCGCGGTTTGCGGGTTTTTTCCTTCCACCGGAGCCCGCAACGGCCAAAAACTGCCTCCCCATGTTCCCAGACTTTCTCTGCGAGCTAACAGCGTCATGGGACAAACCTCTGTCTACCCGCGTCACGGTGCCCGGCTATGGACAGTACATGGAATTGGACGGCGCCGAGGGAGCTGGTTTAGCTAACCCACCCCCTATGGAGCCGTCTCTGGCTGCTTATCTGGCCCCGTCCCATAACCATGGTGTCGGTGGCCCCGCAACTCTGCCGTCCAAGCACTGCAGATTCTCGGCCTCGCAGCTGGAGAAGATTTATCGGGCTCAGGCCGGCACCGCTCGAGCCATGAGCTCCGTCACCATGCTCCAGACGTACCAAGCAATGTGCCTGGCGGAGCTTGGATCGCTGGTTCCGGAGGACAGCCCGCTGTCACCTCTTCTTAACGAGGTTAGAGTCACCACGAATTACATCCTCCGTGCGTCTCGCTGTGCAGCGCTCTCCCTGGGCAGAGGGATGGCTTCGACAGTGGTGGCGCAGAGGCACCTGTGGCTGACCCTCTCCGACGTCCCTGATAGAGACAGAGCTGTGTATCTGGACGCACCAGTGTCTGCGGCTGGGTTATTCGGACATTCACTTGAAGCCATTCAGGCTAGATTCGATCTGAGGAAGAAGCAGACGGAAGCTCTGCGCGACATCATCCCCAGACGCCAGCCCCAGCCCAAGCCCACTGCTAGCTCTCACAGGCCCGCCGCTCCTCTGACAGCTGGCAAGAGACCGGCGCCCACTGCTGGAGTGGGAGGGCCGCCGGCGAGAGCACGTACTCCGGCCCGAGCTCCACGCCAGTCGGCCTGGGGCAAAGGCCCTCCCCCGGGCCCCCGACGGGACCCGACGCCCAGGAGGAAGAAGCCTCAACCCTCCTAGCTGTGATTGCGAGTGGGGAAGGGATCCGGCAGCAGGGAGACGCTGCTCTTACCCCTCTGTTGCCGCACAAGAGGTGCCGCTTAAGTTCTGTTCAGGTTGTCAGCCCCAGAAGGCGCTGCACTTCCCTATCGCGGTCTCCCAAGCACATAACCCCTGCACACGGTTCAGATGTGTTGAATGTTCAAGCGACCACATCGAGTGTTCCCGCTGTTTTTCATTGTTATGCCCCGGAAAAGGTGCACCCAACAAAATGTATAAATGTACATGTTCCCATGTTACAATCAATAAAGAGTGTGGTTTACTCTCAAACAATCTCAAATGCTCAACCTGCAGGCGAAATGAGCCAGGTCAGGCAGGGGATGCAGTCCCCTGCAGACACACGGGGGGGCGACGGCGCCCGCCGTCAGTGCTGCAGGCCAGCCGGCTGGCTGCTCACTTCCCTCAGTGGCGCGCTTGCGCCCCCTCTCCGTGGGTGCTGCAAACCGTTGCCATGGGTTACCGGTTGCAGTTCCGGGTCAAGCCGCCTCGTTTCCAAAGAGTCGTGAACACGATTGTCAACCCCGAGGCAGCCTTGGTACTCAGAGAGGAAATACAGGCGCTATTACAGAAGAGAGCAATACGGGTGGTCCCCGCTTCGGAGACGGACAAAGGTTGGTACAGCCGTTATTTTGTCATTCCGAAGAAAGGGGGAGGGCTTCGTCCCATCCTCGACCTGCGAGTCTTGAACACGTACCTGCGAACGTACAGGTTCAAGATGCTAACACTCAGACAGCTCCTGAGTGCAGTCGGCCCGGGAGATTGGTTTGCGACAATCGATCTAACAGATGCTTATTTTCATGTCGCTATACACCCGAAACACAGGCAGTTTCTGAGGTTTGCATTCGAGGGCGTAGCCTACGAATACCTAGTGCTGCCGTTCGGGCTGTCGCTCGCTCCCCGCACCTTTACGAAATGTGCCGAGGCAGCGCTAGCGCCCCTCAGGAAGAGGGGCATCCGCATCTTGGCCTACCTGGACGACTGGGCTCTCGTGGCTTGCTCCAGAGAACAGGCGGAGACGCAGCTGTCGCGGGTTCTGTCACACATTCAGACACTGGGGTTCTCTGTGAACTTTCAGAAGAGCTCGCTAATCCCAGGTCAACAGATCGCTTTTCTCGGTCTGGAAATATGCTCTCTTTCCAGCCGCGCACGGTTGTCAGAGCACAGAGTGGCCGCGTTTCATCGCTGCCTCGCTCAATTTCAGCTGGGACGCAGACTGCGTTTCCAGACGATATTGCGCTTGTTGGGCATGATGGCATCTATGATCGCCGTAGTGCCGCTTGGGCTGTTGAAAATGAGAGCGTTTCAACGCTGGACTCTCTCTCACCGTTTGTGTGCTTCGCGTCACCTCCGGAGGAGGCTGCCGGTAACTGCGTCTTGCATGCTAGCTCTCCGTCCTTGGAGGGAGCCCGGGCTACTGCACCAGGGCTCTCGGATTGGGAGGGTGTTGTTTCGCAAGGTGGTGTCCACAGATGCTTCCCTAAGTGGGTGGGGAGCGCTGTGCGAGGGTGCGTCAGTGAGAGGGATCTGGTCCGCGGCTCAGCGCCAGCTGCACATCAACCACTTAGAGCTGTTAGCAGTGTTCTTAGCTCTAAAGCGTTTCCGTCCAGTCCTGCAGGGCCAGCATGTCTTAGTCAGGACGGACAATTCAACAGTGGTGTCTTATATAAACAGGCAGGGAGGAACACGCTCTCTTCCCCTGTTGCAGCTGTCTCGCTCTCTGCTGTTATGGTGCAGTGTTCATTTTCTGACTCTAAGAGCCACCCATGTCCCGGGCCACCTGAACCTGGGGCCGGACCTTCTCTCCAGGGGGGGTCCTCTGGTGAGAGAATGGAGGTTACACCCTTCAATAGTGGCTCAGATTTGGGATCTGTTTGGCGAGGCGCAAATAGATCTTTTTGCTTCCAGGGTGAATGCTCACTGCCCCCTGTACTTCTCCATAATCGACCACGATGCACCCTTGGGCTTGGACGCGCTAGCGCACCAATGGCCAGACGTGCTCCTGTATGCATTTCCCCCAGTGGAAATGATATCTCCAATTCTGGAGAGGGTGCGTCGGCATTCCCTCTCTCTGATCCTGGTGGCCCCTTGGTGGCCCGCGAAGTCGTGGTATGCAGAAATAATCAGCCTGCTTGCAGCAAGTCCTTGGCAGCTTCCTCTCCGCAGGGATCTCCTCTCTCAGGCGGGGGGGGAAGTGTTTCATCCGCGCCCGGATCTGTGGCACCTTCATGCTTACCTGCTGAGAGGTTAAACTTGGTTGCTAAGGGTCTGCCACCTAGTGTGGTAGCGACGATTCAGAGCGCCAGGGCCTCGTCTACTAGAGGCTTGTACGCTTACAAATGGCGAGCCTTCGAGCGATGGTGCCAGGACCGCCACACTCTCCCATTTCAGTGCTCTATTGTGGATGTTTTGACATTCCTGCAGGAGCTGTTGGATAAAGGCCTTTCGTTTTCGACGATCAAGGTTTATTTAGCGGCTATATCTGCTTGTCATATCGGTTTTGACGGGGTGACACCAGGTGCGCATCCCCTCGCCGTGCGTTTTCTGAAAGGGGTTCGCCGGCTGAGGCCCGTGCTTAAGTCCAGTGTCCCTGCTTGGGACTTGTCTTTGGTGCTGGAGGCCCTTTGTGGCCCTCCGTTTGAACCCGTTGAGTCGGTAGATATGAAACTTCTTTCGTATAAGACCGCATTACTTCTCGCTTTGGCCTCGGCGAAGCGAGTGGGGGACCTTCATGCGCTGTCTGTGCATCCTGCCTGCACACAGTTTTCTCCTGATGGCCGCAAGGTCGTATTGCGTCCGAATGCCGCCTATCTTCCCAAGGTCATGCCTGCATCTTATAGTTCGATGGAGTTTGAGTTGCTGAGCTTTTGCTCCCCTCCTTTTGAATCTGAGGAGCAGAGGAGGGTGCATTCTCTTTGTCCGGTGCGTGCGCTACGCACCTACATTGAGCGCACTCGGGATGTGCGTTTGTGTGACCAGTTGTTTGTCTGCTTCGCTAATCCGAATAGAGGTAGAGCTCTGTCCAGACAGAGGCTGTCCCACTGGATTGTAGAAGCTATCTCGCTGGCATACAGCACCGGAGGTTTTGCGTTGCCCCACGGGGTGGGAGCTCATTCCACCAGGGGGATGGCGACCTCATGGGCTCTTTTTAGAGGGGTGCCTGTGGCTGATATTTGTGCAGCAGCTAATTGGGCGTCGCTGCACACTTTTGTGCGGTTTTATCGGTTGGACGTTACAGCCCCTTCGGTGGCTCATGCTGTCCTTTCTGCTGGGTCTACCACTCACTGAGGATGTGGTGGTCCCGTTCCGGTTCGGTGGCTGCTCTGCGGGGCGTGTATATAGGTCCCATACTTATGTGTTGTACCGAGTGAATCGACTGAAAGGGAACGGTTAGTTATGTCTATAACTTCTGTTCCCTGAAGGAGAGGAACGAGGTACAACACAGGGTGGCCCCACTGAGCAGTTGGCTCGGTGAAGAGCGGCTATCGAACTGAGGGATGACGGTGATGGCAGCGGCTATATGTGCGGGCGGGGCCTTGCGCGTGTCATCACACGTCATCTGCCGTAAAGGCGTGAATAAAGGTTTCTTCAGCCAGGACACGCGAGGGCGTGATATCCCATACTTATGTGTTGTACCTCGTTCCTCTCCTTCAGGGAACAGAAGTTATAGACATAACTAACCGTTTCATTCTACATGACAGCTGAACTGAACTGTGCCTGTTTGTCCAAATATCATCACTTCTGGCTTAAAATAAAAGCCTGACAGCAGCTAAGACTCACACAGCGAGACTCCACAATCAGGATGACCCTGTTTTGTTATAAACTTATATCCAGTTTATGACTCATGCACTGTAACAGCTAAGAACTGCTTGCTAACAATTGCTAAGTAGCTAAATACGGTGGAGGTTTTATAAGAATCAACTAAATAAACTGATTATTTATCTTTTTTACCTAATCCCACGTGTAATTATTATTTTTGTTTCATTTTGAGCATCTTAGGGTTTAGAGCAATATGCCCATGAAAAGCCTGAGGAAAGACTCACCTGTCATCTTGAGAGAATCGCAGCAGAGGCGACCTCTCTGTGAGGTTGGCTGAGTTAGTTTTTCCTCTGAGGATGTTGACAGCACTGAAATTTTTCCTGAAACTACAAATGCAACAGAATACAATTAGTTTTTTAAAAAAGGGGTTAGAAAGTAACCAAACAAAGCGTTTCTGAAATATGATCCATTGAAAGGCTTTATCACCCTGCTGCTGCACCCAGTAACCTCTTATAATCAACAGCCACGCATACACACTATATTTGTTTTCATCTATCATATTATCACATGCTGAAAGTGCAGCATCAGTGGTCAAGTTTAAAAAAAAAACCTGTAATCCACTGTTTCAGGGAACCTATGAGGTGACGGCTGTTATAATGTGTCCAAACTGACGTAAACCTTTGAAAATGTAAAGTCCCCCACAGCTAATCCTATAATCTTCAGGTATTTTAACCTTTGCTTGCCAAAAGTTTTAGGTGATTAAACCAGTCTGTGACAGAATCAAGTTCTTTTCTTTTATATAACAATATTTTTTTACAATGTAATGGGCATTGATTACTGTATTATTATAAGGCTCAAGAAGTCGGGCGTCTTTTTTGTGACATTTCTATTAAATTTCTATTGTACTGAGAGAGAATTCTCCAGTTATAAAATATACCTCCTGTATTTGTTGTTATTGAGTTAGTGGGCATCATTGAACTCCTCACAGACAGTTTTGTGAAGGTGTTTTGAAGTAATGAATGTGGCAAGTTTAGTGGATAAAGGACAAGATTACATCTGGCAAGTCCGCCCCATTAATCCCTCTGATACTTTTATACACCCATAAAGAGATTTACTGCATGTCTACAAATGTTTTCACCTCCCTTTTTTCCATATTTCCACTCTGATCCTGTCTAGTAGATGTGACTTAGCAGAAACATTTCCCTTCACTGCGGAGTATTTAAAGGATATTAAGCAAAAAATAGTTGGTCTGTTTGGAACACCTACAACCAACAGCCATCGTGACCAACTCACTGATGATACTAGACTTAATTTTCACTTGAGAAACTTCTACCATTTGAATTTCCTGCAAAAACAGTGTCTGTTTTTTCAACTTTGTCTAAACTATTGTTTTACCTTCTCTTTGGAAGTGGCTTAAACCTGTATTCTATCAGAAGGTCACTAGGGGGTGAGAGCAGATTTTGATCCTGTAGAAGTTTATGGGAAAATAAATTTTTGACCTCTGACCTCTGTAAACACTTTCCTCTTGAGTTAAATATTTTCTGTAAATTTTGGTCATACGATGTTTCAAAATAGGGGATTATCTATGATGTGAAACATCAGTAAGCTTGCAGGTTAACAGTTCCTCTTCACATTTTCTTTTTTTTCACTGCGCACATTTTTCAGGTCAAGAATTCAGAACACTTGTCCTCTAAATGAGCATCCCTTTATGTTCCCACGGTCTGTCATATTTCCTTGTTTTAGTCTCCCTTTTGTTTTTTCCTGTTTTATTTTGTCAGTTGATTTTCCTGCCTCCAGGAAATCTTTGTATTTCCTCTAATTCCTTCATTGTTTCTACTTGGGTGTTGTCCTACAACCTTGTGTATGTGTAGTGGGAAAAAAAGTCTGTCTAGTTTTTTTTTATTATTAGTCCTTTATTTAATAAAAAATAGCTCAGCTCACCATCGTCTTCTTATGTCTGTATAACTGTTAATACTAAAACTATAGCTAACTATAGTTAGCTTCGTAACCATTAAGTCATGTGGCCCGATCTGTCACATGACAGATGTTCAAACCTCAAAAAGCTCAGAGAGAAAGCTGCCCTCTGCTGGAGAGCACCACTTATTTTATTGAGCACCTACTGTCATGGTCCTGAGTCTTTGACCCATTGTTGTTGTGGTTTTGGACTTTTTGACTCTTTGGATTCTGGTTTATTTAGTATTCTAAAGTGTAGTTTATATTTCTGGCTTTGGTTCTTTTGCTTTGTGTAGTATTTGTATGTTCTGGTCTTTAGGTTTCTGTTACCATGCCTGCCCCGTGTTCCACTTTTTATCATTTACAACTTTAATTTGGTTAATGAAGCAGAAAAATACCTCACTTTAATCCCAATACCACCACAGCCACAGGTTTGAGATTAACCCCACCCCACCCCGGCTATTTTAGCTACCCACCGACACACACACGAAAATCAGGCCTTATACATGTATATTCATGCATCCATGAGAGGATTTGGCCAGCAGAGCATGTGTAATATGTTTCTGCATGTGTGGTTTAAATTCTTGTTATGTGTTTATTTCAGATAATCCAGTAAGAGAGAATGAGGGCTTCTGCTTAAAAACACAACAGTCTTAACCTGAGAAACAGCTGATGAAAGTAATGAGAATGAACCAAAGTTAAAGTAAAGATGTGTCACAACCAAAACTGAAAGCTGAAAGATGCCAAAACACTCACTTGAGCTGAGGGAGAAAGCAGGGTCATATCTCACTGGTTTCAAAAGCTTCCTGTCTCATGTACAGGCTTTCATTTTGGCCTTGTCACCTTCTGTTTGTGCTCAGTGTGTTCAATGTTCCCTGGCTTTGGATTCTTGGTTTGTTTCCTTCGCCTGGTCTTTTTCTTGTTTTTTGTTCTAAAATATCTTTTTGGTTTTTCTAACTGAAAACCTGTTTCAGCTTTTCAAGGTTCAAGGTTCAAGGTTCTTTATTTGTCACATGCATAGTTATACAAGTATAACACACAGTGAAATGTAGCCTGACACGCTCCTCGACATGTGCAAAAAAATTGGGGGGGGGGGGGGGGGGGGGTGTAGAGGAAGAACATTATATATATATATATATACATACATATATATATATATATGTAGTTTGATTTGATTGTTTGCTTGTTGTAAACAGAAGACTATTGGAGAGAACACAAATTTAAATGGATTAAATTCATTCTGCAAAGAACCGTAACTGCGGCCAAGTAGAATTATACCTTATTATTCTGTGCTGTAAAGCTCCATGTTACAAAACTTATCTTAACCTTTAATCAAAAAGCCTTGAGCAGCTTTCTTTCACTCCCTCTTTCTCACCTAGAACTTCAGTCTAGGGAAGGACCCCCAGCTAGACCCCCTACAGCAGAGGTAGGGAACTCCAGGTCACAAGAGCCAGTGTCCTGCAGGTTTTAGATGTGTCCCTGATCCAACACAGCTGATTTAAATGGCTAAATTACCTCCTCAACATGTCTTGAAGTTCTCCAGCTGCCTGATAATGAACTGATCATTTGATTCAGGTGTGTTGACCCAGGGTGAGCTCTAAAAACCTGCAAGACACCGGCCCTTGATGCCTGGGGTTGCCCATCCCTGCCCTACAGTATCTTTCCCCTCCAATGGTGGATGTAATTCATGAATGATCATGAGAACACAGTAGTTACCCGTCCTCTTGTCGAATGGGGACGAAGCCCTCAGTGTGGATGACGCATTGTCCTGCAGACTGCTGCAGCTTCTGGGTGTCTAGCCTCTCCGAGATGCCCTCCAGCAGACATAGTTCCCCGAAGTTCCCTGCCACCGCCTTCGGTGACCTGAGGCTGCTCCTGCCCTGGTGGCCTTGGGATGCCGTCTGAGACATTTCAATCTCCAGGCTGGTTTTGTTCTCCAGATACATGGTGAGACTGCTGCAGGGGGAAAACAGTGGCTTTATCCTTCTTTAAGATGCTGTGACTTACACAAAAAAGTCACCGATTGCTGTTCACTCACAGACTGTGTATATAAAAGAGCAACTCCTCATGGTGTCTCACAGCACTTCTTTTTTTTATTGACATATAATGATACAGCATTGATGTTTTTGGAGCAGAGAGTTTTCACTGTTGCCTTCTTAGCTTTTTAAAACCAGGTGTCAAAACCATGGAGTCTGTCCAACAGTGAAACTGTAAAAAATGCAGTGTCAGTCTTAAGTTAGGCCAATCCTAAGGTATCCCCTGCTTTATGTGCATTTTTAGCTCTAATGGGGCCATAATTTCACAAAATCAACACCATGTTTTATTCAGTAAGGTTTGGAACCGGTGACTGAGACCATAAACGCAGCAAGAAGGAGTTTACTGTGCTCTGGGGATATGAGGGGTGCATACTGACGACAAATTCTTCTTGCAACCAGAGGAGTCGCCCCCTCCTGGACATTAGAAATAGTGCAGTGAAACAATAAGTGGTGATCCAGGCCCTTCAAGGACTTTGACAAATGTTTTTAGGGCCTAAAATTGGGATGTGTCCAAACATTATGAAGGCCATGAACACCAACATTGCTCCTCAATTTTAAAGCAATATTAAAGCAGCACAATAACTCGTGCTGAGCAGCCACCAATCCCACGTGTTGATATGCTCCTTTGAATTTTTACCCAGAATGCACTTTCTGAAGGAAACAATGAGCTAAAAGTGCTTAAAGGTTTTAAAGAGTGAAGAGAGAATACACTGGTGTCATCACTGATTTAATGAAGAAGTGGTGATGTGAGCCATGCTTTTGTTGTTGAACAGCAGCTATAAAATCCCAGCAGTGATTGTGGTTAAATCTCTAAATTATACTTTGCATTCATGTGACGAAGTATTACATCGCAGCTTTGCATACCCAGACGGTTACATTTCCATTGCTGAGTTTCCTCTGTGAGTGAAAGGGACCAGCAGAGATCCTCAGAACTGCTTCATGCCAGAGTCTGATATTCTCTATGATGGACATTCAGTGGTTTTCATGATAGAACAACACAGCAGACACGGTCTTCATCCGTACAAAGGCTTCATGAGTTTAAGGAGATTATTTCTCACATCAAAGTCTACAGGAAGTCACATGTGACTTTTCCTGCTATAACACCACTTTCAAGGAAAGACTACACCACAGTCCTGCCACCCAAACACTATTTCATACTGATCTGCATTGACCAGTTGCATCATAGAATCAAATATTTCTATAACAGAACTAAATATTCATTTAAGTTGTTTGTTTGTTTTTTAGGGGGAAAAGCCAAAGGAGTCTGTGCATCTCTGCGACATTTTTATTATTTTTGATTGTGATCATTCCTGTAACAATTTTCCTCATTCTAAATTTGGACTAGAGAAGTATAGTCGGACGGTAACAAAGAGAGGGAAGGTAGTCAGAACAGAGGGGATTGGACTACCAGAAGGCAAAAGTTGAGGACAGGTACAAGTACCTAGGAACCCCACAGGCAAACGGGAGCCATGAAGAGGCCATTAGGAAAGCCACAACCACTAAATACAGTGGGGCAAAAAAGTATTTAGTCAGCCACCGATTGTGCAAGTTCTCCCACTTAAAATGATGACAGAGGTCAGTAATTTGCACCAGAGGTACACTTCAACTGTGAGAGACAGAATGTGAAAAAAAAAATCCATGAATCCACATGGTAGGATTTGTAAAGAATTTATTCGTAAATCAGGGTGGAAAATAAGTATTTGGTCAATAACAAAAATACAACTCAATACTTTGTAACATAACCTTTGTTGGCAATAACAGAGGTCAAACGTTTACTATAGGTTTTTACCAGGTTTGCACACACAGTAGCTGGTATTTTGGCCCATTCCTCCATGCAGATCTTCTCGAGAGCAGTGATGTTTTGGGGCTGTCGCCGAGCAACACGGACTTTCAACTCCCGCCACAGATTTTCTATGGGGTTGAGGTCTGGAGACTGGCTAGGCCACTCCAGGACTTTCAAATGCTTCTTACGGAGCCACTCCTTTGTTGCCCGGGCGGTGTGTTTTGGATCATTGTCATGTTGGAAGACCCAGCCTCGTTTCATCTTCAAAGTTCACACTGATGGAAGAAGGTTTTGGCTCAAAATCTCACGATACATGGCCCCATTCATTCTGTCCTTAACACGGATCAGTCGTCCTGTCCCCTTGGCAGAAAAACAGCCCCATAGCATGATGTTTCCACCCCCATGCTTCACAGTAGGTATGGTGTTCTTGGGATGCAACTCAGTATTCTTCTTCCTCCAAACACGACGAGTTGAGTTTATACCAAAAAGTTCTACTTTGGTTTCATCTGACCACATGACATTCTCCCAATCCTCTGCTGTATCATCCATGTGCTCTCTGGCAAACTTCAGACGGGCCTGGACATGCACTGGCTTCAGCAGCGGAACACGTCTGGCACTGCGGGATTTGATTCCCTGCCGTTGTAGTGTGTTACTGATGGTGACCTTTGTTACTTTGGTCCCAGCTCTCTGCAGGTCATTCACCAGGTCCCCCCGTGTGGTTCTGGGATCTTTGCTCACCGTTCTCATGATCATTTTGACCCCACGGGATGAGATCTTGCGTGGAGCCCCAGATCGAGGGAGATTATCAGTGGTCTTGTATGTCTTCCATTTTCTGATGATTGCTCCCACAGTTGATTTTTTTCACACCAAGCTGCTTGCCTATTGTAGATTCACTCTTCCCAGTCTGGTGCAGGTCTACAATACTTTTCCTGGTGTCCTTCGAAAGCTCTTTGGTCTTGGCCATGGCGGAGTTTGGAGTCTGACTGTTTGAGGCTGTGGACAGGTGTCTTTTATACAGATGATGAGTTCAAACAGGTGCCATTCATACAGGTAACGAGTGGGGGACAGAAAAGCTTCTTACAGAAGACGTTACAGGTCTGTGAGAGCCAGAGATTTTCCTTGTTTCAGGTGACCAAATACTTATTTGCCACCCTGATTTACGAATAAATTCTTTACAAATCCTACCATGTGGATTCATGGATTTTTTTTTCACATTCTGTCTCTCACAGTTGAAGTGTACCTCTGGTGCAAATTACTGACCTCTGTCATCATTTTAAGTGGGGGAACTTGCACAATCGGTGGCTGACTAAATACTTTTTTGCCCCACTGTACCTACAGAGGGTCAGGCAAGACCTGAAGTGAATGGGAAAGATACAGACAATTGGCACCTATGCCCTGGCAGTGACCAGGTACACTGCTGGGATAATAAGCTGGCCAAAGGAGAAGACAGAAGCCACTGATATCAAGACGAGGAAGCTCCTGACCATGCATGGTCAGGTCCAGCACCCTGAGACTGTATGCTAAGCCAAATAAAGGAGACCAAGGACTGGTGAGTGTCAGAACCATGGTCCAGGTTGAGAAAACAAACATTCACAAATACATTAGGAAGATGGCCCCAACCGACCGCCTGCTCAGTGAATACCTCAGGCAGCAGAAACCCAAGAAAGAGGAGGAAGAGGAAAGACAGGCCCTTGCATGTTATGTACCACCAGCAGATAAGGGAAGTGGCTGACATCCAGAAATCCTACCAGTGGCTGGACAAAGCTGGACTGAAAGACAGCACAGAGGCACTAATCATGGCAGCACAGGAACAAGCTCTGAGCGCAAGATCCATAGAGAGTGGGGTCTGCCACAACAGGCAGGACCCCAAGTGCAAGGCTGTGTAAAGATGCCCCTGAGACAATCCAGCATATAACAGTAGGGTGCAAGATGCTAGCAGGCAGGGCATACATGAAACGCCATAACCAAGTGGCCGATATAGTATACAGATACATTTGTGCTGAAAATGGCCTGGAAATCCTGAGGTCAAATGGGAGACACCCCCTATGGTGGTCGAGAATGACGGAGCTAAGATCCTGTGGACAAGCAGAGGAAGATGGCTGTAGCGATAGTGAATAACAGCAACATCATGAAGAAGGAACACAAGAAACTTGAGATGTACCAAGGGCTCAGAGAAGAGCTCGAGAAGAAGTGGAGGGTGAAGGTAACAGTGGTCCCAGTGTTAATCGGAGCAGTTGGTACAGTGACTCCCAAGCTAGCAGAGTGGCTCCAGCAGATCCCGGGACTGCACTCCTGTTCCTAGGAGTGCAGTCCTAGGAACAGCTAAGATACTGTGCAGGACCCTCATGGCCTCTGGTAGAGGACCCGAGCTTGAAGGGTAATGACTGCCCACAGGGGCGAGAGTGGAATTTTTAATCAGTCATTTGGCCATTCAAGATATTTGGGTTGACTGTTTAAATCAGTTGATAGATTACTAAAATATGAATCAAAACTACAGTGAGTATCAAACCCTGGTATGACTTGAAACTATGTTACCAGCTCTAACCAATAAGATTGCTGGAAAATTCCAAAACATGTGATGGTGGTCAGCTGACCTCCATCACATGTTTACATTGTCTCCAGCAGTGTCCGGATTCAGACCTAACATTTATAGGAATTTTCTTTGTGGAATAATAATGTTTTGTTTTGTTTTTTAAAAAGAAGAAAGAAATCCAGCCAGGAAAATTCTTTCTTCCGGGTAGAACCAGAATTACTGCCATTTATTGTACATTTCTTTAACCCGTCTTCATCTGTCGCTGTTATATATACTTCCCTCACCCACTTAATACAGACATAAAAGGGAAAAGCTGTCAATGAACACATTCTAGATGCCAGTTTCTCATGGATGCTCCCATCTACACATGAATAAATAATATTCATGATGCTCACATCAGATTTCCTCTTAGTTTTAATGTTTCCATCAAAGAGGTGGCTCAGCCTTTTCGTGTTCAGTCATTTGTTTCAGCGTTAAAGTTCAAACTTGGACCACTTATTGTTCGCATGCATTTCCTATGCCTCATATTACATTTGTTCTGCTTGTCCCATGCTTGTGATGTGCCTCAGAGAGGAGAAAGAGACTTCTGTGTGACATCTTGCTTGCAGGCTGCATGTAAAAGCAAACACAAACTGCTTTCTTAAATTCTCCACCCTCGTTCACAGCAATTAGAAATTCAGCAGGACAGGAAGCCGTAACGGCACGGTTCTCTGACTCGGATGTTTGTTACTAGTGGTTTCTTTCAGTTGTAGTATTAGGTAATGTCTAAGCTGTGAAATATAAAAGAGCACGTTTCATCCATTGAGCAGACATCATTTAGAAATCAGTGGAATGACTGAGGGGATTTTTACAAAGCTACAGCACTACTTATAGAGCAGGATTAGGGCATGAGGCTTAAAGCCCTGAAACAAAGGCCAACACTGTAGTGTAACAGAGGCACATCCAGGCTTTAAATTCAAGCTTTTATTTTGTCAGGAAACAGGTGAAAAATGTCAACCTCACCTTGATGAATGAAGACAGAGAACGAGGACGAGGACTAAGACAAACAGGATGATGATGAGGAGGAGGATGGCAGTGCTCAGTTGATGCTGATGTTGAGCCAAAGAAAGCGGAACTCATTCAAACTGATAATCCGACAAAAGGTAAAGAGTGATGGTCTCACATCTGCTGGGGCTCGTTCTTTTCGATGTTATTTGAGCACAAAGACGTGATGGAAGGCTAGAGAGGCTGAGGTGTTTCGTGTCCTCTCGGGTGCTCTCCCAGAAAGGAGGGAGATGTTCCTGAGGCGCAGGCTCTAGAGGCGCTGAGGAGGGTGGAGGTTCTTAACAGAAAGCTTTCCCATTCAGTCGCTCTTACTCCAGCAAACCGCTCCCACCCCCCTGCTTCACATCCGCCCCGAAAGCACATCCGCCCCTGCTCTAAACAGAACTTGAAATGTGCATATAGATGTTTTAATGTTAATGCTGTTTTTGTGTGATAAATTATCAGAATATTTGCAGTTTTTCTTTTTTCTTCTGGGATGGGGGGGGGCTGTCATGTGGAAAGCACTGGGTCTAACTCATCACAGCAGGGAGCCTCAAAGCCATAGATTTAAGGTGAGGAGGGGTCAGCGAGGTCAGAGACGGACAGGATTCGGACAAACCCAAAATTCTAGTTTCAAAAACGTCATGTTCTTTGTTAACGTCATTTACATCTCATCACCCAAGAGAAAAAAAAATCTCAAAAATTGTGGTGCTGCGGCTTCTATGGTGGATGTTTATGACTAAAAAATGAGAGAAAATGGCTTTTTTTAAATTATTCTTTTAACAAAAGAGAGAAAATGATTTGAACTGTTTGTGAAAGTGGAGAAAGAAAAACTGATTAATTAAATATCATTGAAAATGGTTGCTGACGCGAAAGGTTACTAACATTCCTTTTGTTAGAAGTCAGGGGTTTTTATATTTTAAAAATGGGAACTTTAATCAATTTAAATGAAAACGCAGAATTTAAAAAGACAAAAGAGAGAAAAAAGATTCACAATAAAACTTGATGCATCTGAAGCTTTTTTTTTCTTTTTCATTGTGCTAAACAGCATCTAAGGTCAGGACTGGGCAGAAGGATCTGATTTAAAAACTTTTTTTTTTTAAATTTCATCTCTTTGTTTTGTGACCTTGTTTTTCTACATTTTTTCTCTTTATTTAAATAAAGAAAATTGAATTTTAAAAACAACTGAGGCTTTTTAAAATTCAAGGATTTGCAGAACGCTTCCACAAAACCAGGGACTGTATCTTTAATTTAATCTCTTAATATATTTGCATTTGACCCAACACAGCTGAGCAGATTAGGATTTTAACATCCTGCCATCCATGAGTAAAAGCTAGTGAACCAGACTAACAGGACCTAAGTAATTAGAAACTCCCACCACTAAAACCTCCAGCCTATAAAAATGATCTGTTCAGTGAACTGAACACAAACAGCGATACAAATATATTTCTCATAAGTCCCCAAAAATGACCTTAAAGAGTTAATTCTCAGAAGTCTGAAGACAGCGTCTCCCATTGAGCGGTCTGAGTCACCTGGTCTGGACTCGGGGCTGCCTGTGAGGATAAAGCTTGACAAAGAAGATGTCCCGGGGGGGGGTGAGGGCGGCTACGCTCTGGTCTTGTGGGCTGATGTGAGATGTCGTAGTGAGAACAGAGAAATCACATGAACGACAGAGAGGAGAGTAAACTGGGAGTCTGACGGAGGTTTAACCGGCGTCACCGCGGCGTCAGAGTGAAGGAGCTTTTCGCTGCTTTGTGTTCATCTCATCAGGACTGAGTGCTGGATGCTGACTGGTCATGACAACGGAGTCATGTGATGCAGGCTCACACAAAGCAGAAGTTAATGTGAACTCGCTTTAGTTACACACTCATGTCCATGAGCCCGGCTGAGCAGCAGGCGTTCAGAGATGTTCAGCTGGGATAAATCTGCCTGTTCACTCAGTGCCTTGATCTGAATGCTTGTTAGCTGTCTGCTGAGCCAGAGAAGGTTTCTGAGTTGGTGGCACATGATCCTCTTGATCTACAGAATACAAGAAGAGTAAAAACAGTGCAGGCCTCTGAACCGAATGTGAAGACACTATCTGATTGTCAGCACTCTGCTGAGGAGCCTGATGATGTTCAAGTGAAATATCTAAGGGTCAAAGTTCACTTGTACACTGTTGAGGCCATTTAGACGTTGCTCTAATCTGCAGCAGTTTGAATGTATTCTTCTCCTCACTTCCTGTCACGTATCTCCTGTTTCACCGGTGGAGCTTCATATTAGACAAAGTTTCTCATGATGAGGTCAGTGTGTGCACAATATTCCCTGTGAGCTGCAGACTGCTCGAAACACTGTTTATCCCAGTTTTTTTTTTTTTACTCTTTGCCGTGCATGAATTCAATCTCAGAAACCTCTAAAAGGGTGACCAGCCTCATAATCAGAAGACAGTTTCTCAAAGAAAAGCAGAGAAGTCAGAACAGCTTATTTAAATTTCTGGGTGAACTAAGGGGCTGCAACGAGGCCCAGACAAACACCCGAGGATCCAAACATTACTCTTGTATAAATGTTTTAAGATTTAAAATTTTAGTTTGTCTTTTTGGGATGAGGTGTAAAGTTTGGACTGTAATGAGAGAATCAGAAACATTTAAAGCTTTCTGAAACCAAGGAATGAAAGGAAGATATTTGGGAACTGAGGAAACCAGGTAGTCTCTTTAACAGTCAAACCTTGTTAAAAGAATGCAGCACGGCATCCAATTCCAAATGAGCTTTTCTTCTTCGAAAACCAGCCTCATTTCTCAGTTTAACATTTGGTACTTTGTCTTTGGCAATAAATTTTTTGCAGATCATTTCATTCTGTTCTTTCATGTGACACAAAAACGTAGTTGTATGACCAGTATGGAGTTTTTAATGTCACTCCCCACCCCAACACTCTTTCATGTGTTGCCTTTCCAGGAATTTTTTCTGGTTCACTGATCCACATGACTTCAGCCACTTTGAACACGTACGTTAGACTGCACCGATCCGCTCCGTTCAGCTGAAGAGACTAATTCACGTGTTTGTATTCGGCATGTCTGACTGCTTTGATGTTTTTTCACCAGCTTGTCATGTGTCATTCACACACAAAGCATTTCAAACTGCTCCACCCTGTATGAAAAGTGACATGCCAGGAGTACAATTTGGCGGTTTTGTGGGTTGAAAAACAGGAAAGTGCTCCTGACAGGAAGACTACGGCACAGAAACGGCCCTCTTATTTTACAATGCTTATTTACAGTGATGAGTAAAAAAAAGAGGGTTGGAGATGATAAAAACCTTTGCCACCCACATGCAGTCACATGGGCTGCCTGCTCACCCCGAGCAGCATCCCTCAGTCCACATGATCTAAATACAGCAGCCAAAACCTTCAGCCCTCTCCTGAGGAACCTGCTCCCAGTTCAGGAGACAGACATCCTCTTCACTCTTAAGATCAGGCTTCAAACTTTCCTTTTTGATGAATTTTGTAGTTCCTTTGCTTCCATCTTTTCACTCCCTGTGCATTTATATGACACCACTGCATTCAATGATTCAGTTTCATCTCGGTGCAGGTACCTGGGGCTTCTTCTTCACTACAGTGTTGCCTCTACACACGACTCGCTAGGTTTCCCATAATATTATGTCTTGACCTTACTGTGTAAAGTCCTGTGACATAACTTGCGTTATGTTTTGGTATTATAGAATTAACATTAAACTGCTTAGCATGATGATTTGCGGAACGCAGCGCACGCTCTCACATGACCACGGGAACCTTTTTTCTTCTTGCTGAAACCTAAATGGCTATACTTAGCTGTAATTCCCCAGTAACAGGTTAAAGACTGTATCCAAAGATGGACATAAACATTACCTTTTTGCAGCCTTGAGTGTTTCGGTTGAAACAGTGCATCAGAAGTGATGTCATTCACAGGCCACACCCTAAACAATCATTGGTTCATCTTGTCTTTTACACTGCATGTTCTGGAATTTACGGACCATTCTAACCAGTTAGTGAGTTGAAGTCCCACTAACTCATCTTGTATTACCTTCCTGTGGATACGATTTTATCGTGCATCATCACAATGGACGGGTACTTATGCGTTTCTGCTAGAAGCCTCATTCACAGAGTCATACAAGCAGTACTTTCAGTACCGAAGCACTTTATCCAACATCCACTCGTACTCCGACAGATGCACTTTCAGTTCAGTACTTTGCCCAATTCAGCTGTGGATCGAACCACCAACCTTCCAACTGGTAGGCGACAAACTTTCTCCTGAGCCGCAGGGTGCAACACTGCAGCCTTGAATGAGGCGCAGTAGTTTTTTTTTTTTTTTTAATTGTTCTGTTTTTTTTTTTTTTAAATACTTCATCCCATTATTTTGACATCGTTGCACTGAAATGATAACAGAGGGCTGGTGTCACCCCAGGTCACCCTTCTGCTACTCCCCTAGATCACACTTCTAATTCCAGTCCTAATAATCCCTTGCAAAGATTTGAAATTGCATTTATTCTTATATAATATTAAACAAGTTTGCCACTTTTGCCTGACAGGACACTTTTTCCACAATTGAGGCAGGAATCTAATCTGAAATAACCAAAACTAAAAAACAAAAACACATTATGACTAAAGTGCTTTAGTAGAAATATGGCGTTTCCAGAAAGTAATCCGCTTGAATAAAGGTCATTTAGGGGGAAATATTAACCTCCACTTATGTTACAGACTATATAGGAAACAGCTGGAGATGAAGGGCTCAGCCATCCTCCCTCTCTGCCTGAAGCCTGGACTGTAGTGAAAAGCACCTGACTCCCAGCAGAGTACTGTACGTGGTGAAAAAAAGGACTAAGTCCACAAAGAATGCTAATGATTTCTAAGGCAAGCCTTCAAGGCTTCATAAAACAGAGGCCTTTTTTATTATTTTTTTTACCTCTCGTGACTCCACTTAACTGTGCATGATTATGCAAGGTGGAAGTCAAAGCCGAAGACATTTCAGAGCGGTTACTGGAGCTAAAGACACCATAAGGAGTCTGTATGATCGTGTCTGATTGCCTTTTTCCCAGGACATGAGAGAGAGGCGCTGCTCTCCCGGTGCTCAAGCAACAATCCCCCACAAGTAATCACGGGAGACTTCTTTAACACTCCGCCGCCATCAAGCTGGGATGTTTGTGCCGCATATGAAAACGGATTCTTCCAGAAATCAAAGAGAAAATCTGATCGGCTTCTAGCTAGAGCACCTCCTCTTGTAAGACGAGGACAACAGAAAACAAAAGGATAGAGCGGTTTCATTAGGGCGGCCTTCAACTCTTTCCAAACATGACATTTATGCAA